GTGACACCCCCACTTCTCCCAAGCTTCCAGCCCGTCTGGTATTAGTCATGCTATTTCCAATGTCCTGGTGTGCCATGGGCTTAGATGCCCTGACACGTGTCACTGCCAAGGGCAGTCGTGGGTGCCAGGGGCGGTAAGGTCAGGGCTCTCCCGGGGGTGGCCACTTGGGAGGGGCATGCAGCTATCCCTAGAGCCTGCACTTTGGGGCTCTGGTTGGTATACTGGGTGCATCTGAAGAGGTCCCAGGTAATCTAAGCCACCTGCTCTTTTTCTCAGGACTGGGGAGGAATTTGTTGAGTTTGGGAGTCACCTGGCACCTGCAGGATATGGTTGAGAAGGAATCTGTATTCCTTCCCTTTGGCCGTGAGGGACACAGCACACCAGGCCTCCCTGTCCATCACCAGCTCTCAGAGTTGACTCAAACTCATGTCCATTGAGTCAGTGATGCCATCCAACCATCTCATCCCCTGTCATCCCCTTCTCCTCCTGCCTTCAATCTTTCCCAGCATCAGGGTCTTTTCAAATGAGTCAGCTCTTCACATCAGGTGGCCAAAGTATTGGAGTTTCAACTTCAGCATCAGTCCTTCCACTGCATATTCAGGACTGATATCCTTTAGGATGGACTGGTTGGATCTCTTTGCAGTCCAAGGGACTCTTAAGAGTCTTCTCCAACACCACAGTTCAAAAGCATCAATTCTTTGGCACTCAGCTTTCTTTCTTTTTTTTTTTTAATTTTATTTTCCCCCCCAATTATTTTTATTAGTTGGAGGCTAATCACTTTACAATATTGTAGTGGTTTTTGCCATACATTGACATGAATCAGCCATGGATTTACATGTGTTCCCCATCCTGAACCCCCCTCCCACCTCAGCTTTCTTTATAGTCCAACTCTCACATCCATATATGACTACTGGAAAAACCATAGCTTTGACTAGATGGACCTTTGTGGGCAAAGCAATGTCTCGCTTTTTAATATGCTGTCTAGGTTGGTCATAACTTTTCTCCCAAGGAGTAACCGGGGCCATGGTTCTCAGAATTATGCAGAAGTTAAAGCTGCCCTAGCATTGTTGTTATTTAGTCACTAAGTCATGTCTGACTCTTTGCTATCACATGAACTGTAGCCTGTCAGGCTCCTCTGTCCATGGGATTTCCCAGGCAAGAATACTGCCCTGGTGTCTTCTGTGCCAAATGCTCAGGCCAGGTGGTGGTGGAACGGACGGTTTGCCTGGAAATCACGTGGTTTGGAATGCAGAAATAAGACCCTCTGGCTGGACCAGCCTCGGAAGGCTTTATTGTTTCTCTCCACACAAGGAGGACTTCTAAGGGAGTTGAAATGTGATTGCCAGGGATTATTTGTGAGGAAGTAGCCCAGCCTACTTGATTCTTAATGCTAAAATGGGCTCTAATCCTTGTTTCCTTTTTGGTATTGGATTAGAAAAATGTAGGGCAGGATTAGAACTGGCTGACAACAATACAACAAATACAGGCCCTGACAATTTCAGAACAGGAATCATCAGGCAAGAAGGCTTGAACCCAGAGTGTATTCTCAGTCTTTAGGACTCATGATCCTTGTTCTGATTTTCTGATTATGTCTCTGCCTTCACCTATCAAAAGGTGATGTGAATTTAAATTAATTTTGTGTAGCAGAAAAAAAAAACCCTCAGTAATACAAAAAAGATAGTGTAATAATACCCTCCTCCACTGTCACATTTGCAAACAAAACTCGATATGTTTTATCAGTTATTAATAGTACATTATTTTGGAGAGCCAGTCAGAGCACTGATGAGGCCGTAAATTGTGCTTTTGGAAAATAATTCAGTAGAATTTATCAAGAGCTCAGCATATTTATTGTTGGTGGTGTTTAGTTGCTAAGTCATGTACGACTCTGCAACCCCTGACAAGAGTACAGGAATGGGTTGCCATTTCCTTCTCCTGACCCAGGGATCAAACCCAAATCTCCTGCATTGGCAGGTGGATTCTTTACCACTGAGCTCCCGGGGAAGGCCAAGAGTTTGGGACTTTCTCCAACCTTACCTCCTACCTTTATTTGACAATAACACCCAGATTTTAAACTGTAGCTAAAGGTAAATCTTTCAAGCTTCCCTACCCTGTATCTCCACCTCAGACATCTTAGTCATCTCAATCTTTAGTCAAAAAAGGACTGTGAGTATTCTCCAACAGATCAGTTCTTTTCTCCCTCTAAATATTTTGTATCTCTGTCAATTTCTTTATCTAAATGAAAAAGCTAGGAATTTTGTGTTTCTTTTCTTTATTTTCCCATATACCCAATTCAGCAGCTAGCCCTGTTGGCTTTACCTCCAAATAAATAGGAAATTCACCCACTTTTAGGGAGTTGCCTCGTGGCTCAGTAGTTAAGACTTCACCTCCCAATACAGGAGTTGCGGGTTCCGTCCCTGGTCGGTGAGCTAAGATCCCACATGCCTTGCAGCCAAAAAACCAAAAACATAAAACGGAAGCAGTGTTGTAACAAACTCAATAAAGGTTTTAAAAATGGTCCACATCAATCCTCCTCATCTCCACTGCCACCAGCCATGGATGGGCCCTCGGGAAGGCATCCTGACCGCACTCTTGCTTCAGTTCTCCCCCCCACTCCCCCTCCAGCCTCATCTCTGCATACAGCAGATGATGTCCCTGACCTCCGTGGCTTTCCAGTGCCCTTCTGATAAAATCAGACTCCTGTCAAGGTCCCTCATGGTCTGGGCTCCAGCCTCAGCTCCTACCAGCTTTAGTTCCAAGAAGCTGTCAACTTCTTTTTCCTTTTTCCACCTCCAGCCTTTGTGCCTCCCCCTGCTCCCTTCCCAACTTTTGAGGGGCTGGGGTCTTCCTCAGAGAGGCTGTGCCGGATCCCACCCTCCCCTTTTTTTTTAACCTTGTCATGCAGGATCTTCACTCCCCAACCAGGGATCAAACCTGCACCCCCTGCAGTGGGAGCATGGAAGCCTAACCACTAGATAGCCAGGGAAGTACCACCCGCCCCCACCCCCCACCCCGGGCCGCCTTTTTTTCCCCTGGGTTTTTTTTTTTTTTAATCCTAATCCCTCCTGTATCTCTTTCTCTTTTTTTTTTAGGTTCTCAATGGTTATCTATTTTGTACATAGTGTCAATAGTATATAAATGTGGATCCCAATCCTCCCAGTTCATCGCTTCCCCTGCTTTCCCCCTTGGTATCCATCTGTTTGTCTGACCCCCTCTTAAAGGTAGCTCCCCGCGCTAGGGTTTTTCTTTTCTACCACTGCCCTTATCTGTTTGCCTCAGAGCACTTGTGAGGAGAAGCCCTCTTGTCTTGTCTGCTCTGTCACTAGCATGTAAGCTCCGAAGGAGACGTCTCTGCTGCTGTTCGTCCCTGGTGCTGGGTCCAGTGACCAGTGAACAGTGAAAATGAGTAAAGGAGAGTGTATTTTCCAGATCATTATTTCTAGTAGGTGCATAGTATCCATTGCCCAAATGTAACCTAATTAACTTAACCACTGGCTTATTGGATATATTTGTCCCCAGTTTTTCACCACACTGAACCATGGGAAATAATCTGAATGACTGTTGAGAAATTGTTGACTAGATTAAGGAGTACTACGCAGGCATTTAAGATCCTAGGAAGCATTTTTATTAACATGGAGAAATGAGTTTTTGTAATGAGAAAAAAGCATAATATGAAAAAAATTATATATACAACATGTTATCAGCTGTGTAAAAGTTCATGGGAAAAGAGAATAGGAAACTGTCAATTATACATTTCAGGCTGGCAAGATTACAAATAATTTTTCTTTTTTTTTATAGTGTGCAAGGAATACATGGTGTTTTCCTCTTTATACTTTTCTGTGTTTTCCAAGTTTACTACAATAATTGTGTGGGTTTTTATAATTAGGTAAAAAGTCTTAAAATTTTTAGAATACTTTTATGACATATCAGATTACTGGAGATAGAAGCAGAGTTAGGGGACTATTGCGCTTCGGGGAATGAGCTAAATGTTTGAAGCACACTTGCTAATGACAGTTCTTAGCCTCTGACTCCTTCTAGGCCTGTGAGTGATCTGGGTTTAAAAACAGTAGTAGAGCACTGTTTCCTGTGAATCTTCCGTGGCCAGGTAGACTTGGGTGTGGTATGGCATTACAGAAACTGTGGCTTACAAAAACATTGTTTGGGGGTTTGAGAGCATCCCACAGATATACTTAGAACTGGAAGGATATCACAACTGCTCTTCACATCTGTTTTTGTAGCTTAGGGAGGGTAGGCTTATGTGGCCTGGGCATTGTCATAGAATTTTACTCACTCATCTTGAGTCAGTGATTCTGAAACACTAGGCACTTTGGAAATTTGAGGTCAAAACTGCCTTCATAATAGTGCTAAAATGTTATCTGCCTCTTTGCTTTTATTCTCTTGCAAACACACAGTGGATTTTTCCAAATGCTATATGATTCATAAATTGCAGAAGCAGCTAGGAGAACCCAGCTGTCTTCTACAAAAACAGACATTGAGGAGTGTTGCAAAAATGTGCCACAATGCCAGTGTCCTCAGTAAAATTGTTTTATAATGGAATATATATATATCATTTTAATGGCATGCAAGTATGTTACCATAGAATGGGTTTGTTATTGTAATTGAATTAATACATATTTTTAAAATATCTCAGTTTAACTTCTGATATAGCAAATGTCAATGGATATTTATGTGTATACACAAACACTCTTTGGGGTCAATTTTTAAGAATGTAAAGGGGTCCTGAGATCAGAAGGTCTGAGAACCAGTGAATCGAGGGCACAGGAAGAGAAGTGTCTTTATGATGGATTGATTATGACCCAGTAGATAGATTGGTTGAATTGCATGACCCAAGAGAACAAGGTCTATGGAGGGAAGATGACCTCGTCTCACAGGCAGGGGTTGGAAGTCCTTGAAATTACATTAAATTTTTCTCCTCCTTCCTTCCCTCCCTCTCTCCCATCTTCCCTCCTTCCCTCCTTCCTTCCTTTTTCTCTCCCTTTTAGAGATCATGCATGATGTGATAAAGAAGGTGAAAAAGAAGGGAGAATGGAAGGTAAGTGGAAGAGCACAATGAATGACCTTGAAGGTGAATTCATGGGGAAGAACACGAATGGGGTGGCACTGGGGAGAGGCATGCAGGTGAGGAATGAGGACCTTTGCTGTGTCCAAAGAATACAAAAAGCTTCTGAACTGGCAAAAGGTAATCTGCTGTGCCTCCCATTGTATAAGATCCTGGTTAGGAAATCTCTGGGTCATGAAGCTTATCTTTAAGATCACCTGGTGGGGCATTCTAGCAGTGGAACCCTCTAATTCAAACAGGATCTTACCTGGAACCCATTGATTAAAGCAGAAGGTGGAATTATTCTGCTTGCTCTGGGAGACAAGAGGGGACCCTTCATGCCCCTCCGGTGGCCCTAAAGCCTCTCATGGAGCCCATGCAACAGTCTGAAAAGCCCTTATCTGGCCTATTCCTGTCTGTCTGTAGCTACACAAGACAAACCAAGTCAGCTTGTTTGTTCATTTAACATTGAGAGCAACGCTGGAAACTGTTTTGTACCTGAAACAAATATTTAAGTCAATCTAACTGATTGTGACCTTGGTCCTGGGAGTGGATGATACAAGTCAGAATCGTGCTGTCCTCCAGGAAGTCAGAGTTTGAAGGACCTTCTGATCGTCTGGGACTAGGCATCAGAGTGACCAAGAGGGCACACTCGAACTTCTGCGTGTTGTCGAAGGGCTTATGCTAACCATTCTTGCCCCCAAGTTTTCCTGCAGTCAGGAGCCTCAAGTTCATTGGGCCTTGGAACAGCTTGGCACCAGGAAGCTTTTAAAGTCTCACCCTAACCTCATGAACATAACCTCATAAACATGAGATCACATTTTACCAGAGCGTCCATATTCATACCCAGGGTGGGAGGCCAGCGGGTGGGAACTCTTTCTGCCTGCCTTTCTCTGTCACCCTTCCCATCAGTAATGGACTTGTGGACATGAGCATTTTAAACCCTGGAGAAGCTGCCTTATGAAATGAAACCTGATTGGTCCTTGTGCTACAGCAAAATGCTTTGGGGCCCACATTTTTCTAGCTCCTGTTGCCTGGGTTTATATCTTTGAGGAAGGAGAAGAGGAATAACCTTATTTTAGCTTCCTCTCTCCGCTGTGGATCAGGTGGAGATAGGAAAGGTTTGCTGAAGAGCTGCAGGTATGATGCTTTCAACCAGGATGGCATGTTCCTGTCCTTCTCGTCTAGACTGAGGTAGAGTTTACTCCTGGACAACACATGTGCTGGTCCATCCTGATGATGTCTGCAACAAAGTCCTCGCTTCCATCCTGCCAGTGTGGCACTAGTGTTCATTCTCCCTTAAAGAGAAAGCTTATGCACTGAAAAAATATAGATTCCTCTGATTGTGGGTGCTGTGTATGAAATTTTTTTTTCTTTTGCATTTTTATGAGTAATTATTTTCTTTGTCATCGGAAAAATTTTAATTTTTTTAAGTTTAAAAAATCAAGTCATGTCAGTGAGAGCAGACTCTCCTAGAAGCTTAGGTTTGGTGGGAAAATAAAAGCTAGTGTGTATCTTGGCAAACTTCTGGCCCCTAGGGAACCTCAATTGCTCAGAATTCTGTGTTTCTGGGCTCTTCCTGAAGTCTGATGCAGTCAGGGGAGGCAAGCGTCACAGCAGGTGCCCCCCAGGCTGTGAACTGTTCCCTGTGCTTCCAGACTGTGAACTGTTCCCTTTGCTTCCAGGCTGTGAACTGTTCCCTTTGCTTCCAGGTGTGAACTGTTCCCTTTGCTTCCAGGTGTGAACTGTTCCCTGTGCTTCCAGGTGTGAACTGTTCCCTTTGCTTCCAGGTGCTGGTGGTGGACCAGCTGAGCATGAGGATGCTCTCCTCCTGCTGTAAGATGACGGACATCATGACCGAGGGGATAACAAGTGAGTGTGGTGGGGTGTTCTTTCTCCTCCCTGTTCATTATTGTCTTGCTTGGCTTTAGACCCCAGGCTTTCTTGTTCATCACCAAATCCCTAGTTTCCAGTCCAGTGTTAGATGCCCACTAAGTATCTGTGAAAGGATGCCAAAAGGAAGGCTCAGTTAAGAAAAAAGGCAGGCCAGCCAATAGAAAAAAGAGTGGCACCTAACAAAGCAAGAAATCCAAATGGCCAATAAATACATGAGAACTTGCCCACCCTCATTAGTGGTCAGGGGAATGCCGTTAAAACCAGAGTGAGATACTGCTCTGTCAGATTGGAGTATTTATGCTACGATAATGCCAAGTGATAGGATATAGGAGAAGGGGAACTCTGATATGATGAGTTGGTATAGCTACTTTCAAAAACCTTGGAGGTGTATAGGAGAGTTGAGGCCTGCAGGTCTTGTAAGCCAGCATGTCTGCAGTTAGATGTGTGTTCTAGACAACTCAGGCATGTGTGCCCAGGAAGGTCACAGATCATTGCTCATAGTAGCCACAAAGTAGGAACAACCAAAAGTTCCATCAGGAGAAGAATGGTACAATAAATTGTGGGACAGTCACACAACAGAATATTACATAGCAAAGGAAAGGAATGAATATTAACTACTCTCTCATTCCAAAATGTGAATGAATCTGATAAACAATGTTGAGCAAGAGAAACAAGATACAAAAGAGTCCTTAACAATGTGCTTTAATTTACATAATATCCTAGAACAGGCAGAGCTAAGCCATACTGCTTTGAAATGTGGGGATAAGTGAATCTTAAACAACCATTAGAGAAGTGATCACCATTCATGTTGCCGTGGTGGTTCTCTTTAAGGGAAAAGGAGAGGTGGGGATGTTGAGGGAGGGGGAAAAGGGTAGCGGGGGCACTTCTGCAGAGCTGATTGTTCTGTTTCCTAATGGGATGGTGCTTGTGCAGTTATGTGTATATTTATGTTTAATTCACCATTTGGAATGTGTGTTAGAACTTCACAATAATAGGTTTCTGAAATAAGATAAATCACCTGCTCAAGGTCCCTGGGCAGCACCACACCTGAGACTAGGACACAGCCCTCCTGGCTTCTGTCCCAAGCTCTTTTTCACATTTGTGAGCAGGGCTGCCGTCTATGGGGTCTCACAGAGTCAGACACAACTGAAGCGACTTAGCAGCAGCAGCAGCACCAGCAAGTCTTACTTGGGGGCTCCTTTCAGGAGAGATGTATTTTCATCTGTGAAACAGCACTGATGGAAAAGCAATCTATTTTGAGGTATTATTTCAAACAAGGGAGTTAACCTTTGTTTTCCTCCTAAAAAATGTTGAGTGAAACGTATCTCTTACAATGCAGCTTATATATACACACACACACACATATAACAATTTGTGGGCTACAACCACACCTGGAATGTGACTCCTTTGTTTTTAAAAACACATTTCCACCAAAAAAAAAAAAAGTTTAAAAAAAAAGAAAACAAAAAAATTAAGACACATTTCCAAATCTAGTTTATCTGTCACCAAAAGCCATAGTCCTATAAATGGGAGTATGGAATTTTTGGTGTGACTTTTTGTCATTCAGTGATCCAAGACCAGGCTTGCCCCTATTTTGAGCTTGCAGAGTTATTTTCTTCATTGAACTTCTAAAACTTTTTTTTTTCTCTATCAAAACAAAAAATGCAAATATAGGAAAAAAGCCAAATGTAGCTTGTGAGCTTCTAACAAAGAAGAGCGCACCACCCTGCCCTCCTCCTCCTCCCCCATCCCCCAGGGTCCATCACCCCGGAGGCAGCCCTTCTGCTCTTTCTTCCAGTTATCTTTTTGATATTTCTAAATAAATGCTTATATGGTCATTTCTGGATTCATCATGTTAGACATTATCCTGTGGTAGATGAGGGTTCACCTCTCCCGTCCTACACACAGACTCTTCCCTATCACAGAAGTTATTTTTTTTTTTAGTGTCCTTACTCGGCAGAATTTTAAATTTTGCAAGCCTGTGTGGACCACCCCCCTGAAATATTTGGGGGGAAGTATTACTGGCATATGAAATTCAGAAATCTATGAGCCTTGTACAGCAGAGACCAATACGCATTGTAAAGTAATTTTCCTCCAATTAAAAAACAAAATCTATAACCCCTGATAACACAGATGGTTGAGAAATTTTGGCATTTAATTTGAATATTATTCAGGGTGAAAAGTCTTTGTGTTACAGGGATACTTCTAAAGGGATGCTTTTATTTGCTGACATCACCTTCACAGGAAGAAGAGCACCATTAGATTTCCTACTTGCTCTGTACCAGAGGACAGTGTAGCATAGAGGACATGTCCTAAGCTTTATCAGGTGACTAGTGAGATGATCCCTTTCCCAGAAGGATGTCTTTCCCCTTGCTGACATTCTGTAAAAGAAACCAGCAAATCAGCCGCCCATGGTTTGCTTCAAGCAGAATTTGCTGTTTAGTTTTTGAGCTATTGAGAGGAACAGTCTTAATCCAGAGAATATGTTTGGAATGTCTTCATCTGATAGACAGAGGAAAATGATAAAATGATCCAATTGTTGAAAAACAAACTTAACTTGGAAATTCTAAAGGAACTGGGATTATCTAGGACAGATGAGGGAAAAAAAAAACAAACCTGAAGGAAGAGGCAAAAGTCTGTTCTTGACAGAATGAGATAGCAGTTTCCATTTTTAATCAAAGCAGATCGAGGAATTTCCTTGAACTGAAATGGGAAGTGGGAGGGATTTCATGTGATGAGGTTTTGGGTTTTCTCCCACCTTGAGCATGGTGAGACACAGAAATGTGATCACTCTGAGGAAGGGGCGTTGAGTCTTCTCCCTACTCTGTCGATTTTTGCCGTGCCAGCCGGAGGGTGGCCTCTCTCTGTGGCTTCTAGTTTCATGATCACCAGTTCTGTTCTCTTATTCATCATGGGCTGCTGTTTTGCTGTCTAGTTGTGGAAGACATCAACAAGCGCCGAGAGCCGCTCCCCAGCCTGGAGGCTGTGTATCTCATCACTCCCTCTGAGAAGGTAAACCCTCCCGGAAGAGCTTTGGCTGAGGTCAAACACTCTGGCTTGGTGTCTGTGTGGCACCGTGTCTGACATTTCTGGGTTAAGCAGGCATTTAACACACTGCTCTGTTTAAGCGTGCAATCCACAAGCAGGGAAGGAGGGGGCTGGTGAATAATGAAGAGTGCATTAAGCTTGCTGCAGAAAGCCAGGTCGGGCCAATCTCATTTATTCCTTTCTAGGTAGGAGATCACGTTATCTAGTGATCCACCTGCAGAACTTGTGTATTTTACACTGTCAGATTTCTTTTCTCCTTTCTTTCTTTCTTTTTTTTGGTGGGAGGGGGCTGCACCCTCATGGCTTGCAGGATTTTAGTTCTCTAATCTGGGCCCCCTGTGGTTGAAGCACTGAGTCCTAACCACTGGACTGCCAGGGAATTCCCAGATTTATTTTAGCAATATCCATTAGAGTTTAGATTTACTTGTCTTACCATTTTGGGTGATTGGTTCAAATCAGCATCTAAGCAATGCCCACCTCCTTGCTCTTGGTTGCTGGCTGTCTTAGGTGTCTTGATCTATGTAAATTCCCCCCAGTTTTCATTTCATTAAAAACAAAAAACAAAACTGACTTATGTGTGAGTTTCTGCAGATGCAACTAAATCGCCAGAACTCCATGGCAATGAGTCTCCTAGCAGGTTTCTGAGCAGTTTGCTCTTTTGTGGGTCTCTTCTTAGGAACCCAAATAATGGTGGGTGCAGAGAACAGCTGCTGTCATTCTGGAATGAGCTAGAGAGGCTTTTGTTAGTCTAAACTCTGAAATAATCCTCAAGTCCTCAGAACTCAGTTATGACTGAACGTGAGTTAGCATTATAATCAGAAGTCCCTTTCTATCTTGTGCATGTAGCTTGAAACCAGTGTGGATTCGACTCTGTTCAGATGTAGGTCCCATTTGCTTCTAGAATCGGATTCAGTTCCCTTTTTTCCCTCTCCACAGTCTGTCCACTCTCTCATCAGCGACTTTAAGGACCCGCCGACCGCCAAGTACCGGGCCGCACACGTCTTCTTTACCGACTGTGAGTAGGGCGGGCCGTGCCACTCCGGCCTTTAGACTAGCACCCCGGCCTTTAGACTAATGCCCCCGCACAGCCAGACCAGCCCCACGGCCGGCCAGGCCGGTGGCGAAGAGGTGAACTGTTCCCACGTGTGTCCCCATCTTTCATTTTCTCTTCAAAAGACAAATTGCATAAGAGAGAAAAACAAATGCCTACAAATACAAAACCTACTAGGTCTTACAGTCCTTCCTAATTAAAAAAAAAAAAAAAAAGCTCCTCTTCTAAGGGCTAGCGTGTTTAATGCCAAGAAGAATTTCCCAATACCAGCCTTGGTGCTCGCAGGATAGCCTTCCAGACATCACTATAAACTGCAGTGCATTTCCACCTACTTTTCAACTGTTGCTACAAAGGCAGTCTGACCTAGTGGTGTTTGTATTAAATAGAATTTATCACTGTCCTAGGATCTGTTTTCTTGCTTTGTGGAGGTTTTGTGCATGGAACCTAGTACTAGAAGCATCTTGGTCAGTCTTTGTTAATGGCAAAGAGAGATGAATCGGACTAGATAGCTTAAGAGTGCGCAAAAATGACAGTTCACCCCATGTTCTCTCTGGTGAAAACCCCACAAAACTCACCATTGAGAAAATGAGAAAAGGGTCTTGCAAAGAACAATTTTATATGCTTTGAAGATGGGTGGCAAAGGAAGCAGGTAAATGGCATTAATAATAATAAACCAGTAACACATTTCCAGGGACCTGAAACTGTTTGTTTGGCCCAGGAGAGTCATGAGAAATTGTGGTTCCCCGACCAAGTGGGTCTTCTGTGCAGCTGAGTTCCTTAGAAGGCCTGCGGAAGTGTCTGCATCACAGTGCCCAATGATTTTATTTTTCCTAAGTATGTCAGGTGTGGGGTGTTCAGACCTTTTCCTGATGCCTTCTTGATCTCTTCTGGTTCTTTTTCTTCTTCTCCTTAATATCAGAAAGTGGTTTTTTAAAATCAGCTCTCAATATCTCAGCCTTTATTGCCAATTGTTTCTTTGTTCTATGTGGAGGGCCTCCTAGGTGGTTTTGTATTCCTTTTATACCCTAGAGGCAGTAAGTTGTAGGATGGGATAAACTTCCTGTTTGCCTTTTAAAAATCCTAATAATAAAGAATTCACCAGACATGTGCAAATGTTGAAACCAACAAGCAAGTGGACAGGAAACCCTACTGTCTTTGTCATCCCGGCAGCTTGTCCAGATGCCCTATTTAACGAGCTGGTAAAATCTCGAGCAGCCAAAGTCATCAAGACTCTGACGGAAATCAACATTGCGTTTCTCCCATATGAATCCCAGGTGAGCCTGCGAGGGGATGGGCAGAGAAAGCCTGCATCCTGGTTATTCTCTCAGGAACTCCAGCCAAGTCAGAGAGGGTGGGGCAGGGGTGCAGTAAAGAGAGTGGGGGAAGGAGCTACTCAATGATGTCCTGTAAGTGGATGTTTATGTAATGGAAACGGTCTTTCTTAGAGGGTCTGCCCGAGATGCCTCACTCTTACTCTCCAGTTATTTCTGACTTTTCTCAGCCATCATGTCCTTCTTGGTGTTCATTTCATCCTTGCTCAGTGTTCACGCCTATTGGCTGACTCCTTGAATAAGTAAAAAGTAGCCAATCCAGAAAGAGCTGGGAGGAGAGGAGGGGAAGGGATCAGACTACACCCATCTGCTGCTAAGGAGGCTGTTTTTTTGTAGAGATAACCTCAGCTTGTCACGTGTCGAGGAACAGATGGTATCCTTCGTCACAAGCCGTTAACACTTCACGTGCCGAAACTGCTCCCCTTGGAAAAAAACAAAGTCATTAAACCAGTAAAAGTGAAGCTGATTGTGAGAGAATGTACAAAATTTATACCATAGTATTTCAAGATTTGTTAAAATGCCTCCTCCTCCTCAAGAAGCAAAAAATAGCACAACTTCTGTGCATTTTGTAGAAGTAAGAGATGGTTGTGGCATATCAGGTCTTTATGGATCAGCCTCTAATAATAGATGCCAGAGAGTGACGAATTCTTAGGTAAGAAGACATGGAAAAAATAGAGTGTGAATATTTTCAAAAGAGTTTCTTTCCCTTCTGACTTGGCCTAAAGCCTATTCTCAGCCAAGGGCTGGGATTTTTTTTTTCCTCTCTGTGAGCCCTCTCACCACCTGGATTGAACAAAATCCAACTTGAGCATATTCAACCATATTGTATTTCATCTGTTTTTGTTTTTTTATGTTTGGTTTACTGTATGTCACATGTGCACATTTTTTTTTTTTGTTCAGTTGCTAAGTTGTGCCTGACTCTTAATGACCCTGTGGACTGTAGCCCACCAGGCTCCTTTGTCCATGGGATTTCCCAGGCAAGAATACTGGAGTGGGTAGCCATTCCCTTCTCCACCATATATTTTTGAAAAGTAATAAACTTAAAAAAATTTTTTAAACCTCAAGTTTTCAAGATGGGGGTAGTTCACATCAAGAGATTCTTCTGAGAGAATACTGATGCCTGGTAACCTGCTGGTTTAAGAGAAAATTTTAAACCTCCGAAACCTTCCAAAAAGGATAAAAGAGAAAAATACTAAGAACATACTTTGAGAATAGGAAATTATTAAATCCATAGAAAGCTCCTTTGTTTGCCACAGTCACAGCACAATTTCTAGCTTGTTCCCCATTTATTTAAACTTACAGTGAATAGCCGGTGTGGTCTGACAAGGCCCCTCCGCTGCTCTCCTCCTGGGCTCCGCATCAGTCATCAGACACAGGCATGCCTGCCTCAGGGCCTTGGCTTGACCAGCCCCTCCTTTGGGAGCCCCCTGGGAAGAAACTCCACCTCCTTCAAGCCCTCACTCAAATGTCCCCTCCTCAAGGAGGCCTCCAGTCCTCCCTGTCCAGCCCTCAGGCATTCTTTCTCTCCTTCTTCTGTTCTGATACACTTACCCATTTCCCACATACCATAAAATTTACTTTTCATTTTGTTCCTTGTTTATTCATCTGCCTTCTCCTGCAAGATTGCACGCTCCTGGAGGACAGTAATGGTTTGGTCACTAACAGTTCCCAAGTATGTAGCACAGGGCCTGGCACCCAGCAGGTGCCCAGCCATATTTGTAGAATAAATGAAAACTTGTTCTGGAGCCTCACTACGAGGCTTGGAGGGAACACCATTCTGGAAATATATATATATGTTGTTGTTGTTGTTGTTCAGTCGCTGAGTCGTATCCAACTCTTTGCGACCCCATGGACTGCAGCACACCAGGCTCCTCTGTCCTTGTGTATATACGTATATATTTCCCCTTTCTCAGGTGTATTCCTTGGACTCTGCTGACTCTTTCCAAAGCTTCTACAGTCCCCACAAGGCTCAGATGAAGAATCCGATCCTGGAGCGCCTGGCGGAGCAGATTGCAACTCTGTGCGCCACCCTGAAGGAGTACCCGGCCGTGCGGTACCGGGGGTAAGGCTGCACCCCAGGCTGCCTTCAGCGACCCCCCAAGCGAGGAGCTTGTCCCCAAGTGAGGAACTTCCTCTGGCCTTCCCGTTTTCTGGCGGTTGTCTCCAGAGGATCAAGATCTGAGCATCTCACATTGATGCTTATTTTCCAATGTTTTTGTAATTTTCTAAATTTTTAATGTGAACTATACTTATACATGCAGAAAAGAGCATGGAATACATATATTCAGTTAGTGAGGAACCAAGGGCAAACCTCCACATAACTGTAACCCAGATTTCCTTCAATTTTTTATCCCTTTCTAACCTTAAAAAGCGGCTTTCCTGGTGGCTCAGACGGTAAAGAATCTGCCTTGAAACAAATACCGTCTTTGGAAAAGGTGTTTCAGGGTAAGATAAAATAAAAGGAGGACACAGTCCTCAGATTTGATCGAGTCATTCACTCATCATTTACCTGCTATGTGCTAAGTGCTAGGTTGGGGGGCTTAACCTGAAGACACAGCCTCTGCCCGTAGAAGCCCCTGATCCAGTCAGGCAGGTAAGATGTGTACTGGCATAGTGTACACCGAGCTGTGCACACCTGCAACATAGCCCTGCAGGACCAGTGCCTGGGGCAGTGCAGGCCTCGGGCCTGGGCGTCCAGAGCAGGAAGAGGCCCCTGAGCTGAGAGGAGCAAGCACAGCATCAGAGCAGAGGCAGCATCTGAGCAAAGGACAGGTCAGGATTTCAGGAGACTGATGAGGAGCTGGGGGCATTTTGTGTGGACTGTTGGGGTGAGCGAAAGCATGGCCCTGGAAAATAAAGGGCAAGTTTAAGGAGGGCTGGTGGTCTCACCCTGCGTACGTGCAAGCAGTGGGCAAGGTGAAACCATCGCTGGAGGCCGTGGTTGCCAGGTTTGGGGTCATGCCCTTTGGTGGTTATCACAGGGCAGCCTATGAGGGAGTGAACACAGTGATGTGGGAATGCAGGGGTCACAGTCATGCAAAGAGAAGCAACCAGAAGGGGGGACACTGCCAGAGGAGTGGAGGACTGAGCGGGAAGTGCCAAGGCGCCTCATCACCTCTTTGTCCCTGGGATGGGCACCCGTAGGACAACCCTCCACCCACCGGGGTCCTCACCAACAGATGCCCAGCAGAAGTTAAGAAACGAGGGCTGGGAGCTCACTCGTTGAGAGGATGGGACCGGGGGTGGAGCTGCTTCTGCGCTAAGAGTGGCCAGGTGGTGGGCAGCAGCCACATGATAAGCATCACCCAGAGGAACTTAGGAGGCGCTGGAGGCTGAGCAGGAGGGAAGATCCAGAGGTTCTCAACTTGCATCTTTCTAGCTCTGCCGGCGGAAATGTCACTTCCAACAAAACAAAACAGAGTCCAAGGGAATTTGAACTGAGGGAAGTGAAGATCAAGTGGGTCAGGCTAAGATATCCTGATGGTGGGAAAAAGACATGTGTTTAGGACCCTCTGCTGAAGTATGGCTGTTTTATCTGAAGCTGCTTGGAAAGACCCCCTCAGTTTCCACTTAGATGATTTTTTTTTTTTTTAAGGAACTAGAAAATCATTTACATTCCAGGCACTGAGCTAAGTATTTTGTTTTTCCTTTTTAACCGTACATGTAATCTGAGTTATAGTCTCTTGTAAAAGAACAATACAGATGAAGCTCATCTCTCCCTTGACCCTCCCGCACTGTCCTGCCTTCCTCCCTGAGGAAGTGCCATCGATTGGGACAGGGTGGTTCACCCTCTGTCCCTCCTCCCTTGTCAGGGAATACAAGGACAACGCTTTGCTGGCTCAGCTAATCCAGGACAAGCTCGACGCCTACAAAGCCGATGACCCGACAATGGGGGAGGTAAGTCCGACCTGACCCACGTGGTTCTCTTGCCGAGGGACCACAGTGTCCATGGGGCAGCCTGGGCACAGCTGGCTTTCTCTGCTCACAGAGTGTGCATGAGCGCCCCTGTTTATGCATACTGAGATCCAGTGAAGCAAGCGCCCAAGCCCTCGGGCAGGTGGTACAGGTTCTGTTCAGTGGAGCCGAGCGACCGGCTTGTTTCTGTTCCCTAGAACTTTTCTGGTGTTAGCACTGAAAGCCCTGTGTCATGGGAATCCCCTCAGTGGAACAGAGTTGAAACCAGAAAAATGACATTGCTATGTCTCTAGACCTTACTCAGATTTCGCTAGTTCCTACACGTGCTTATGTATGTGCGGTTCTGTGCAATTTTATCACACGCATCACAGAACTGGCCCATCACTATCATGATTTACACACTGATAGCCCCAGGTTCTGGGAACCCGCTCCATCCCAGGCTGGCTGGGTTGGATGATGGGTGCCCCTTTTGATAGCCGAACCCAGGTGGTGCTTTCATTTGTAAGCTCACTTTGTACCCTGCATTCGGGATCTGTGTCAAAGGACCCTATTCCTGTGAAACAGACACACTAGATTCTCACATGGCGTGTGCTGGCGTCCTGGTCCGGCAGTAGATGGACTGAGTGCTCTCTGAGTCAGAGTTCACATCCTGCTGCCACGTTTCACGGGAGGGCTAGCTGTGCTAGTCAGGGAAGCAGGAGTTGAAACAGGGAGGGTTTCGGGCATCTCACGAAATCCTCCCTCGTGTCCTTCCTTCCAGGGCCCGGACAAGGCACGCTCCCAGCTCCTGATCCTGGACCGTGGTTTTGACCCCAGCTCCCCTGTCCTCCATGAGCTGACTTTTCAGGCTATGAGTTACGACCTGCTGCCTATTGAAAATGACGTATACAAGTAAGTACACGTGACTGCAGCTTTGCAAATGAACCAGACACACCTCTAATTTAAGGAAACAGATGTCGTTAATCCTAGCAAAAGCAGGTACATTCATAGTCTTTTTTTTTTTTTTTAATTTTGGTTTTGGCTGCATTGGGTTTTAGTTGTGGCTGGCAGGCTTTCACTAGTTGTGGCGAGTGGGCTTTCAGGCCTAGTTGCCCTGGGGCATGTGAAATGTTAGTACCCTGATCTAGCCCACATCTCCTGCACTGGAAGGCAGACCCCTAACCACTAGACCACCAGGGAAGTCCTCATACAGTCTCACTAATAAGCCTGCATGCTTTTCTGTGAGTTCCCAAAGTGCAACTGCACCATCAGCTAGAAACTTCTGCCTGTTTTGGGGGAACAAGAACTTGAGATGTTTAGTTCAGCTCATGTCACTTTAGTTCATAGCCGGTTTGGATGTGTTAACATGTTGACTTGTGTAAGAGCGTATCTTACTCAGAGTTAAAACTTCTTAACTACAGACCATGAAATATGATGATAAAATATACCAGTAGGAGTGTCTTACCAAGTTTTTAAAAATTAATTTATTAATTTGTTTATTTTTGGCCACACCATGCGGCATGTGGGATCTTAGTTCCCCAACCAGGAGTTGAACCTACATCCCTGGTATTGGAAGCACGGCGTCTTAACCATTGGACTGCTAGGGAAGTCCTGTATTACTGAGTTTTATTTGCACTTTACTTCATTGTAAACAGTTTTCTTGGTAGCAATCATCAGAAACTCAGTCTCTAAAAACATATTTTTCTTTTTATGGGAACAGACTGTATTGTTCTCGTGGCAATGATTTTATAACCTTAACCATAAAGATAGTGGTTTCAAAATGAAGATTCTAAAAATATGACTGAATCTCAGTTTTCCCCCTTTGGTACCTGTAATTCTTTATTTCCCTTAGATGTTCATGGTTGCACTTGTGAAAGTTTGCTGAGGGCCTGTTGCAGGCAGCTGCCAAAAGCTATTTCAGTCCCACACATTAAGGATGGTGTCCGCCTTTCCCAGGGAGGAACAAGTGTGATCCTCACCTTTGCTTTACGAGTACCTCCAAAACCATGTATGACCTGACTTCACAGCTGAGCCAGGTGGCTCCAGTGGAGCACATCAACTGACCCCGAGGGTTTTAAAACAGGACTTCAAGTCGGTTGACTTGGATCAGACCTTTAGGTCTCTTCCTGCCCTAGAAATTGTTAGCCTTGGGAATTCCCTGGTGGTCCAGTGGTTAGGACTCCATACCTCTCACTGATGAGGGCCTGGGTTCAACCCTGGTCGGGGAACTAAGATCCCACAAGATGTGTGGCATGGCAAAAAAAAAAAGACAAGAAACCATCAGCCTCATTCGATGCGGCAGGCCTGACACAGACAGTGACACCTCCGATGGTCGGAGCGCTTGCTGTGCAGTCATTCGTGTGAAGGTCAGCCTGTTATAAATCAGGGGACTGGGTGAATCGCGTGGGACGTCCCCCGTCTCCTGTCCAGGTATGAGACGAGCGGCATCGGGGAGGCGCGGGTGAAGGAGGTGCTCCTGGACGAGGACGACGACCTCTGGATAGCGCTGCGCCACAAGCACATCGCGGAGGTGTCCCAGTAAGAGCCCGCCCTGCTTCTGCCCCGGGCCCCAGGGCCCGCCCCACCGACACGGGGGATCACGGGTGCTGGGGGCCAGTGCGCCTTCTCTGGGCACCTTGGGCAGAGCTCACCAGTACAGGCAGGAGCCCCTTGCTTCTGTTAAGTCACCCACCTTCTAAACAGTGATGGTGAATCCCTTCTGATATCTGAGCTCAGGCTCTACCAGTCTCATGAAGTTAGAATACCCTTTCCGTGTTAGGGTTACTTTTAGGGCTTTTAGAAAGCATTTGTAGCTTTTCTCATTTCAAGATGCTTTATAAACACTAAACACTTGAAGCCAGTTTGTTCCATTGAAAGATCTACTGCATACAGTTCAGGGTTTTGGGTTTTAAATATATAGCTGGTATGTCCCCTTCCCCCCTGTTGTCATACCTAAACTTTTCTCAGCAAGAGTCAATGCATATACTAATCTCTATACCAAAGGGAGTACCTTGCTTTGAAAATGTTTCAAAATGTTTCTAACTCTGGAAAGTTTTTAATAGGCTGTTAAACTGTAGATAACAAGTTTGCTTTTGCAGAAGGACACATTCTGCTACATTGAGTTGATAATATCCACAGGAAATTCACAAGGAACAGTGAGAAAATACTATAGCCTAGGATAGTTGTTTAGAAAAGTATCCTCCAAACCTTGGGGGATCATTCAACTTTAGAAAAATGTTACTTCACATTTCCAGTTATCTTATTTAGGCATTCAATATATGCTTTATCGTACTTGTGTATATTTGATAGCATATACAAAAACATAAATTTGAAAAGGATGAAGTGAAATTATATAGATAGATGTCCTAACATTTTCTTTTCTGTTCACAAATTGTCTTGTACACCCAACTCTGGAGACCCCTGGTTTAGAATATTAGGAAAATGGCATATCTCTCTCTCTCCTCTTAGAAAATCACTTTAAACCTATACCTTAGGGCAGGAAAAGTCACTGCATACTCCTAAAGGAAGGATGTTGCATGACTATAGGCAGTGGTCCCCAGCTGTTTTGGCATCAGAGACCAGTTTTGTGGAAGACAATTTTTCCATGGACGAAAGGGTCAGGAGGTGGTTTCGGGATGATTCAAGTGCATGACACTTACCGTGCACTTTATTTCTATCATTACTACATCAGCTCCAGCTCAGATCATCAGGCATTTGATCCCGGAGGTTGGGGACCCCTGATAGAGAGGCTATTGGTGCCGTGTTGAAGCTTAGCTGCCTCCTCCTCTCTTCCAGGGAAGTCACCCGTTCTCTGAAGGATTTTTCTTCCAGCAAGAGAATGAATACTGGTGAGAAGGTAAACCCATGTCCATTCTCCAGTGCCCTTTGGGTTCATCCCTGCTTCCTCTAGGGGTGAGGAGGACACCTCAGTATAGGGCTGGTGAGTTGGGAGCTTGGAGGGATTCCTGGTCCTCTCTTCATCTCTTAACATCTTGTCTTATTTTTGTATTCAAGATTGAGACCCGGAACCCCCATCTTTTAATATTTATAAAGAGCTTCTTTTTGTTACTCTGAGTATTCACATTTACTACTTTGGATCACAATACACGTTAAGCCAGAAGAACTTGATAAAACCTTTTTTAGCTCATGGTAGCAATAAAATTCATATCCCAATTCACCTGGGCCTCTCCTTCTCCCGGCTGATTATCAGCGGTGTTTATTCCTCTTAGAAACGCCACTCTAATTGTGTTGCTCCCTGGCCTAGGATCATTTAGTGATTTCCTGATCCCAGTAGAATCAAGTCCCACTGTGGACATGCCTTAACAGAACCCAGGTTATTGGGCCCCACAGACTCTCATCTCTGCTTCCCTTCTCCTTGCCACTCACCACGGCTGAGGCCATGCCTGAGTTCCTTCCCCAGTCTTGCCTATACAGTCCCTGTCCTTGGCTCAGGCATCGTCTTCTCTGATGGCGGGAGGCGCCCCTGCTGTGCCCCCACGCTTGTGAGTCCCTCCAGAGGTGCTGATCCACTCAGTCAGAATGACTCCTCAGCTATGTGTTAGCTCCTTGAAGGCAAAAATTCTTTTCTGTTTGTTTTTGTCCTTGTATCTCTAGGACCTAAAAGGGCCTGGTATGTAGTAGTCATTCAATAGTTTTTCACTGAGTACATGAATGGGATTAGGTCAGTCACCCAGTTAGAAAGTCAGCAGACCCCTTCTACCTGCCAGGGTGAGATTCCAGCCTTCTCTCACCTCACTGCTTCCTACCTGTCTGGGCAACTCTGGCCTTTCTGCCGAGATGAAATGTGAATTGATGCCACGACTGCTTGAGCCAAGTATGCAGAAAAGCAGTGTATAGATGAAAAATTGATCTTTCCTGGCAAGAAGTGTGTCCTCAGTTACTTTATGGTCCAATAAATAAAACATAATTGCTAGACTTTGAGGTCAGTTCCCCACCTGTAAGACAGTCACAGTATTTGGGTCAGTAATTTTTTGAGCCACAGACATGGAAATCTAAACACACATGATCTTGTGTTTAACAGATACGTTGGCTGGGGGTTATAGAACATGTGCTCAGGAGTCTGGTGCTAGCTGCTGTCCTGTCCTGGGCCCACCCCCAGCCCACCCTCTTAGCTCAGGGCCATCGGAGTGAGACCATGTGCTTCCCTCTCCCCACAGACCACCATGCGGGACCTGTCCCAGATGCTGAAGAAGATGCCCCAGTACCAGAAAGAGCTCAGCAAGGTATGTTGTTGTTGCTGTTCAGTCGCTCAATCGCACCGGACTCTTTGCGGCCCGAGAGCAAGGTATGATGATACAAAACGATCCATTCGATCGTGAATGTAAACAGCTGCAAAGACGCCTCAAAGCCCCAAGACACTCACGGACTGATGGATATCCACAGGTTTTTAGTCATCTGCAATTTTTAAAAATTTAATTAATTTATTTTTGGCTGTGCTGGGTCTTTGTTGCTGTGCCGCTTTTCTCTAGTTGCAGCGAGCACTGGCTACTCTCTAGTTGCAGTGTGTGGATTTATTGTGGTGACTTCTCTTGTTGCAGAGGATGGGCTCTAGGGTGTTGGGCTTCAGTAGTTGCATGATGCGGGCTCGGTAGTTGTGACTCACAGGCTTAGTTGCTCCACGGCATGTGGAATCTTCCTGGACCATGGAGTGAACCTGAGTCTCCTACATTGGCAGGTGGATTCTTGACCACTGAGCCACCAGGGAAGCCCCCATCTTCAATTTTTATTAGGAAAAAAAAATGAAAGCCGGGGATAGATAGTTTATTTCCTAAGACTTTCTCTTCATCTTTTTCTCTCTGTATCCTTCCAATTCTTTACCCCATGGGCCTGCAAGATTGAGCTCAGAGGAGGTCACGGTGATCTGGGAGTCACACAACACTCTTGTTAGGCACTCACTGCCTGAAAGTGAAAAGAAAGTGAAGTCGCTCGGTGGTGTCTGACTCTTTGCAACCCCATGGACTGTGGCCTACCAGGCTCCTCCCTTCATGGGATTCTCTAGGCAAGAGTACTGGAGTGGGTTGCCATTTCCTTCTCCAGGGGATCTTCCCAACTCAGGGATCAAAACGGAGTCTCCCACATTCCAGGCAGACACTTTAACCTCTGAACCACCGGGGAAGCTCAACTAAACCCAGCCCCAAGGAGAGGGGTATTGAGCGCCACCTGCCGGAGGGAGGAGTATCAAAGGATTTGTGAACATGTGAAACTGTCACACCACCCTGCCCCCTTAAAGGATTTCTCCTTCCTCTTAACTCTTGTAGAAGGTGTTTCTGTCCCTCTGCCCGACACACAGTTCTCTACTTGAACGTGTATTTCATCTCCTTTATGAGGCTGGGGACTCCTAGGCACCTAGCACCGTGTTCATACTTAGCAGTTACTCAGCAAATGCTGCCTGAGTCAGCGAGAGATTCCCTGACCACACACTTTCTATTTTGTCTTAGTATTCGACCCACCTGCACCTCGCCGAGGACTGCATGAAGCATTACCAAGGCACTGTGGATAAACTCTGCCGGGTGGAACAGGTAGGGCCCTTTCCTTCTCTTTCTGCCAGGCCTGTTTACTTGCCCAGATGAATGTTAACATCTTACCTTGAACATCTTGCAGAATCATAGGAAATAGAAATGGGAAAGCCTGATAGATCATGTTGTCTCAACTCTTTGGAGCCAGTGCAGTTCCTTTCTCAATGGTAGGGACTAGAGTGGCCCGGAATGCTGTGCCGTTTGGGGTTTGCATGTCTGACTTTCCAGATGCTCCCTGGAATAGCAGAAGAGACTTGTGTGATGCACTGAACCCTGCACTGACAGAGCTGGCTGGATGTTGATTCTGGAGTGTCCTTTCCTCCTGCTGTGACCACACCAGCTTGGAGACCTAGAGGCCGAGAGCGGGCAGTGCAGCCAAAGAACAGAAATACGCCCACGGCCTCCCTGATCACAGTTACGATCAGAGTTCTGTCCCTGTCACTGATTCATTTGATGTGCTTGTTTTTCTTTTCGTCTGCAAGGGGATATAACGAAGCTGCCACATTTTCCAGGAGTGTCGTGTGGAATCACTAATCCTGGCATTGCATTCCTCATGTGTGATGATAATTCTCATCTAGGGTCCGCGTCTAAGGGAAGGGGGGGATCCCATGAGGCAAAACCTCAGCCAAAGTTCTCTTTTCACAGAAAAAACAACTCACATTCTCAGTGTGAGGCTAAGATCTAAATCCTCTGGTTCGATGTGACAGGCTGGGCTTAGGTTTCTAAGACGAGGCATGATTCATGGGCTCCCTCAGTAGTCCTGATGAAATCCATCAGTTTCACAGGGATCTCTGCAAACACAAGGCATCCTCACCATCAGATCATGACTCTACAGAAGACAGCTTATCCCTAGACCAGAACAAATGCAGTTGAGATTCACCCTGGGAAGTCTATATTTTTTCAGAAGTGCCCAGGGGTATTTGTTGAACTAATCACATTCAATTTGACTTTGAGGGAGTATTAGGTTCAGTCCTGCTGAGCAGATGTCTGTTGAGGCTTCACTGAGGGCTGAAGGAGCCTCAGAGAAGGTTGTGGGATGGGGGGGGTGTCTGCCTTCCTCTGATCCAGGCTGGGCAGAGATCCCCTAACTGGAGATCATACTTGTTATGGACTCCTGGGATTTTGAGAGAAAAAAGGCAACCTTCAGGCAGCTCCTGTAAGAGCTACAGAGAAAGTTGTAGAACAAGACCAGATGGTTCTTGATGTGCCGAGACCTATGTGCTGCTTTCTCGGGCCTGTTGAGAGTGGATCTGCCTCTTGCCTGAGTCATGGGCGATGGGGGGGTGGGGGTGGGGGTGGGGAGTGTGGCAGAGACTATGCTTACTTCACTCTTTATCTTCAGTTCTGTTGTCAGCTCCCCCTTCCTTCATCTCCCTCAGTGAGATGTACAGGTTTGGGAGCCCATGTTTTTTTTCCTCCCCCTAAAAGTGTTGGAAGATTAAAAACGGAGGTTTTCAAAAACGCAGAACAGTTAAACACTCCCCGGTCTGTGCCAGGGGGAGCAGAGCAGGAGGAGTCTAGCCAGGCAGAGGCACCTTACAATACTGATGCTTTTCATCCCCTGAAGCCCCAAGCCCTCTGCAGGCCTGTGTCCCTCCTGAGAACCTACCAAGACTGAGGCTTTCCCTGAGGAGTCGGCTCAGGCTCACTGGCATTCACATGGAGGGAACAGCCTGCCTTTCAACAACGTCGCAAATCTGTGTGGCCTCTGGTTTTGGAAAGTGAAACCTGGGGCTTTCCTCGGCTCTTACTGATGCCATGGAGACCTGTGCTGATTAACTGCAGCATGTGGGGGAGCTCACGCACCTGTCGCTGACCTTCCCCAACCAAGCCACACATCCCAGACATTCACAGACAGCCCGTTTTCTAATAGCTACCGTCTATCCAGACTGTTGCCAGAACAGACTGGGGCCAATACAGTGTGTTTTCTGCAGGACCTGGCCATGGGCACAGATGCTGAAGGGGAGAAGATCAAGGACCCCATGAGAGCCATCGTCCCCATTCTGCTGGATGCGAATGTCAGCACTTACGACAAAATCCGCATCATCCTTCTCTACATCTTTTTGAAGAATGGTAGGAACAGTGGGATATGACAGAGGAGACAGGCCCTTTCTTGGGGAAAACGAGGCAGCTGGGAGAGAGAGAGAGAGAACAAAGTGAAAAACAGTTGAAAATACAAGGAAACGGGAAAGAAAGAGGTGTCTAATAGGAAGGTCCGAGGGACCGTTTACAGCTGGAGAAATGTAGGCAGATCAGCTGCAGCTAGAGGCTGTGTATCCCCTAGTGATTCTACAGTTAGTCAGAGGGACGGGATAATGAGAAGAGGACTGGGTGAGGACAGCAGGGAGAGTCTATCGGCTTTACAGCCACTTTATTAGAGCATTTCTGCCAGAGACTTTTAACTTACCCCACATTTGTAATCTGTGCCTTTATTTATTTATTTTTTTATTTGGCTGCATTGGGTCTTGTTGTGGGATCCAGGATCTTTAGTTTACCAACCAGGGATCAAACCCAGGCCCCCTGCATTGGGAGCCTGGAGTCTTAGCCACTGGACCACCAGGGAAGGCCCCAATCTGTGCCTATAAATAACTGATCTTTACCCACATATAGTTGCCCATAAGTGTTCACTGTGCAGAAAGATGGACACAGAGACTCTCTTGTCCAAGCTGACTGTGATGCAGGCCAGAAATGGTGGGGGCGGCTGAGAAGCAGGAGATGGACAGAAAGACAGATCAGGAGGGGCAGTTGCTGATGGTCATAGCCCAGGACAGAGTGGCTAGAGTGGAACTAGAGTCCTGGCCCTGCCTTGTCTTACAGTAAAGTCGATACAATGAGTGGATTAGTTCCCACTGATGCTGAGGAGGAGAGGGGGCACCATGCCCGACCCCAGGCACTTGGCTCTGCTTCTGAGTGTGCGATGCACATTGGCTGGTGTGGTGATTGGGGTTTTGTTCTCACAGGTATCACCGAGGAAAACCTGAACAAGCTGATTCAGCATGCCCAGATCCCGCCGGAGGACAGCGAGATCATCACGAACATGGCACACCTCGGGGTGCCCATCGTCACGGACGTGAGCGCCAGCCTCGTGTTGGAAGGGAGGCCCAGGGGAGGCAGCGGCTCTCATCTCTTCTCCCCTGACTTCCTTAACACAGCTTATGATACACACACTCAGCATCGAGAAAGAGAAAACATAAAATCAGAGGAAGGCAGGTGTAGAGGTATACACAGAATCGAGGTGTAGTGCCAGGAGCCCAGGCGGTCACATCAGAGAGGCACCACATGGTCTCGAAGCTGAGCTGTGCCCATGAACCAGCCCAAGACACACCAGCTCCATCCTGCGTGTCTTGAGTCAGCCTGGCTCAGCCGTGGGGACACTCAGACTCAGCATCTTCGGTGAGGTTGCTGTCAGGCCGTCTTGAGACCTTTGAGTCCGCTGCTCTGGCCATGACTCGGGACCCAGTCGGGGCAGGTGTGGGGGCCCAACTGGCAGTGAGCTCTAGAAGAGGCTGAGGAGGGAGGGGCTCCCTCACCAGGAACCTCGCTTGTAGGAACCCTGTTTCCTGCAGGGAGTCAGTGCCGATAAAACCGAGTTGTAGGTTGGCTCCTTCTGGAATCTTATTATTAGAGTCAAAAGCTTTGTTCCGGAGCCAGCAGACCAGAGACCTGTGACTGGGGGTCATTTGGTGTTTTCAGACCCTTGTTCAGAAAGGGACCAAACGAGAATGGAGATGATCCTCTCAGTGCACCCTGTGCTGCTGAAGCAAAGTCAAAGGACAGGTCTCACCAGGGCAGGATTTTCTTCTGTTGTTGTTCCGTGGCCAAGTCGTGTCTGACTCTTTTTGACCCCACGGACTGCAGCACACCAGGTCTCTCTATCCTTCACCATCTCCCTGAGTTTGCCCAAACTCATGTCCATTGAGTCAGTGATGCCATCCAACCATCTCATCCTCTGTCACCCCCTTTTCCTCCTGCCTTCAGTCTGTCCCAGCATCAGGGTCTTTTTCAGTGAGTCGGCTCTTGGCATCAGATGGCTGAAGTATTAGAGCATCAGCTTCACCATCAGTCTTTCCAATGAGTATTCAGGGTTGATTTTCTTTAAGATTGATTGTTTTGATCTCCTTGCTGTCCAAGGGACTCTCAAGAGTCTTCTCCAGTAATTGACAACAAACTTTTTAACTTCTTGCCTTTGTCAAAAATGGCACTTATATGTTTGACCCACATTGGCCAGTTTTTAAGGCTTTAAAAAACCAAGTTTGCTCCAGATTCTTGGGCTGGAGCCCACAGGCATAGTCTGGGCTTTTCCAGGAAAACCTCTTCACATGTTACTCTTTTTCCAAGGCTGATTCCCCACAGGGAGCCCTGGGACAAGCAGGGCCATGTGGGCCCAGGTGCTGACTCAGAGTCACCTCTCATGTGTTTGCCTTCAGTCCACCCTGCGTCGCAGGAGCAAGCCGGAGCGGAAGGAGCGTATCAGCGAGCAGACGTACCAGCTCTCGCGATGGACCCCGATCATCAAAGACATCATGGAGGTCAGCGCAGGCCAGGACGAGGGTGCGAGGCCTGCAGGGCCCAGGGGCTTCAGCCTCACCTGCCCTCAGGCAGCAGTGACGCCCGGGGCTTTGCATCTGGGCCTCGGAGGGTTTCTGCAGAGTGGCCCCAGGAGACAGCCAGGCGTGGATTCCCCAGGTCCACGTGATTCAGCCCCAATGGAGGGCCCCCTCGATGGCATCGCAGTGCCTGAAGGTCATATGGGTAGCGAGCTCCACGCTGAGGGCACGGCAGCAAGGAGGGCATTCAGAAAGTGACCCTAGGTGCCCCCGCTGCTCCCGTCATGTCAGCCAGAGACCCTGACAAGCACCTTTCAATTCAGATTCATCCCCTGCCTGCACGTTCTCGCTCTCCACCTCCTGGGTCCTGCCTTTTTGCAAAGTCCCCGTCTGGCCTCCCTGTCCCCGCACACAGCGCCACGGATCTGAGCGCCCAGCACCGCAGAGGCCTCCCGGCCTCCTGCAGCCGTGTCAGCTGCTCTTAGCATGTTTGTCTGCCGCTTGCTGTGTTGGGGCATCATTTTAGACCTTGGCCCTGTGCCCTCTCCCGCCATGTCCTCTGGCACTGTGCCTTGTACATACCAGGTGTTTCATATCTGTGAATGGAAGGTGGCCCAGGTGTCCCTCCCTCCCCTCCCTCTTGTAGTTCAAGGTCAAGGAAACTATGTAGAATCCTGCCCCACGGGAGCTCTGGGGTGGGACCTGGAGATGGTCTGTCCAGCTGCTGCCCTTGGACAGGACTGAGGTCCAGAGAATGAAGAGACTTGCCCAGGATCCCTCTGTGAATTCATAGCAGTCCAGGTGTTCCCACTGAATTGTACGCTAAAATAGCTATATTTTAAATATATAGAGTGCGTCAGCTTCCTATTTTTAAATCCCACAAACGAAAAGGATGGGTGAACATGAGACATCTAGAAACCAGTAACATCTTTTTGCCTGGCAGAGTAGATCAACCCCTCTGTCTCATTCCCTCCTTTGTTCTCTGCTCCTTTTTCCTCTCCCCGCCCAGTCCCCCAAAGAGACGTGTGTGGGCTTCACACAGTAGCTGTTAGAAGTGTAGACTTCTCAGCAGCAGAGGGTGGGAAGCCAAATCCACCCACCAGACAATAGGCCCTTGGAAACCTGTGCATCGTGGCTACTAGACAGATGCAAGGGTCAGGAGCCTACTGGACAGGATGGGATATTTATATCCTCACATGGAATATAAAGGGGAAAAAAGAGTAAACTGAAAAAGAAGCTAGAAAAATTAATGCAGGGTTTTAAAAAAATAACTTCTCTTCAAGAGCAGACCTATAAACTCATCTTGTATCTGCTGGTCCCAGGGCATCTGCTCCCCTAGCAGGGCAGGAGTCACCCCCTAGCAGGCAGAGGAGCTCCGGTTCTTGCAAAGCTGGCCATGGTTTTGGCTAAGTGACTTGCCCTTGGAATCGTCTTACCTTGGTTCCATCAGCCCTTTTCAAAGCCGTCTCTCTCTCTCCAGGACACTATTGAAGACAAACTCGATACCAAGCACTACCCGTACATCTCCACCCGCTCCTCTGCCTCCTTCAGCACCACCGCTGTCAGGTGAGCGAGAGCCCGAGTGAGGGCAGGAGGGGCGAGCAGGACCGTGTCCGGCTGGACGGACACGGTAGCCCTGCCGTGATGCTGCGTGGTCTGTGGGAACCCTCCTGCGGCTTCTCCTCACAGCCAGGGTGTAGGCAAAGCCCCTGCAGTAGTCGGGGAGGCCCTCCGCCTCGTGGCTTCCTGTTCCATCTCTCACTCCTTACTCCTCTTCTTCCTCCACTTCAGCCACATCAGCCTCCTTGCCCTCCCTGGAACACGCCAGGCTCGATTCTGCCTCAGGAACCTCTGCATTTGCTTTTCCCCCCTGCCTGAAATGGTCTGTCCCCAGATATATCCACATGGCTGCTATCTCCTCCAGGTCCTTAATCAATTATTACTTTCTCCCATCTTCCCTAACCACACCATTCAAAATGACAGTACACCAACCTTCCTAGCAGTATTCATAATAGCTCAAAAGTGGGAATGACCCAGATAGATGTCCATCATCTGATGAATGGATAAACAACATATGGTACATTCAAACAATGGGGTATCATTCAGCCAAAGATAGGAATGAAATACTGATCCATGCTACAACATGGATGAACCTTGAAAATACAAAGTGAAAGAAGCCAATCACTAAAGCCCATATATTCTATCATTCTGTTTATATGAGATGTCTAGAATGGGCAAGTCTCAAGAGAGAAGTAGATAAGTGGTTGCTGGGAACAGGGGTGAGGGTTGGGAGATAGGGGTTACTGCTACTAGGTACAGGATTTCTTTGGGGGGGTGATGAAATGGTCTAAAATTGATTGTGGTGATGGTTCACAATTCTGTGACTATACTGAACACCAGAGAATTCTACAATTTAAACAAGTGAATTGTATGATATATGAATTACCTGTCCATAAAGGTGTTACAGAAAATAATGGAAAAATTACAGCCCCTACCCCCACGTCCTGTCCGTGTACCTGCTGATGCTCAGACATTTATCAGGTTGGAGATGTGAGCAGAAAGCAGTCCATGCTTCTGTCTCCCGGTCCTCCAACCCTCTGTGTTTTCTTGGCTGCCTATGATGCCTCATGTGTATGTTTTTGAAAAGTCCTCCTCTCATTCACCTCCTTGCTGTCTTCATCGAGAAGTCTTTCCTGCCCTGTGGGCCATGTGTCCACGGGCCAGTCCCTGGGACTCTCACACTATGAACACAGGTCACCTCGACTCTCTGCTGCCCTCTTCTGTGTGGCCCAGGTTCCCGGGTCAGACTTTCTAAAACATGCACCTCCGTCCCTCTGCGCATACTTTCCCCGCCCGCCCGCCCGTCTTCTCTCTCCACCCACCTCTGTCATCACTCTCAGGCCTGCATGGCACATCCCCCTGCCCCGATGCCAGTGGAGGACAGATGTTTATTGCCAACACTGGAGTGGAATACAAAATCCCACATGGTATCGCAAGCAGACTGCCGATGACGGCAGACAGATGATCTCACAGGCAAAAAAAAATGACTGTGATCCTTGGGGCTGGTCCAGACAGGCCCCCAAGGCCTTCAAGATTTGAAAAGTGACTTCAGTGCTGTTATAACTCAGGAAGAAGGGTGAAGGTTCCACTGTCCAGAGGAGCCTTGCTCTCCTCGTTCTGTTTTGAGTTTTGTTTTCCTCATTTTTCTTAACCTGGAAGCAGCCCATTTCTCACTGTTTACAAGGACAAGGTGAAGGCCCATTGAAAGCCAGGGCAGAGGAGGAGGCACGGGGGAACTGTCCTGCCGCTGAGATGCCCGTCTTTCAGGAGGCAGCTCAGCACCTCCTCCTCCAGGAAGCCTTCCACGGTGACACCCGGGTGGTGCGAGATGGCCCTTCCCTGTGCCTGCCCCCACAGCACCTCCATGCAGTGCGAGGCAGACCCTCCTCCGTGCACTCTCCTTGACCCAACACTTGAGTTAAGCCACAAGCTCTTGGGATCTCACTCAGGTTAGCTCCTCAGTGCTGGGGTGGCCCGGTGAGGCCTGCGGTGAATCAATGTGCCACCTGCAGACAGGCCCGGGACTCTGCGGTCTCTGCCTTCCAGCAGAGTGTCCCAGAACTCTACAACTCGGGAGAGACACCAAGACCATCATCCAGTGGGTGGAGCTGCTGAGTGTCTGGCTTTAAAGCCGACCTGAACCTGTCTGTTGCCTGCGTGTTTCTAAGAGAATGACAGGGTCACACCACAGGCGCTCGTGATGATTCTTCTCCCAGCAGCCAAAACACTTGATAATTTTGCACTGCAGTCCAGTTCAGACAGCAGTTGCTAAGCATCTGCTCTGTTTTTAGTCACTGGTGTATAGAATGAGTCCTACGTCATGGAATGAAAGCGTTAGTTGCTCAGTTGTGTCCAACTCTTTGTGACCCCGTGGACTGTAGCCTGCCAGGCTCCTCTGTCCATGGAATTCTCCATGCAAGAATACTGGAGTGGGTTGCCATGCCCTTCTCCAGAGGATCTTCCCAACCCAGGGATCAAACCCGGGTCTCCTGCATTGCAGGCCGATTCTTTACCGGAATCAGCCACTAGGGGAATTACGTCATGGAATAGTGAAGTATAAATGCTGTATATGCAGATACACATGATTAACATCCTTCTCTCCCCCTCCCCCTCCCTCTCCCCACCCCCCAGCGCCCGCTATGGGCACTGGCATAAGAACAAGGCCCCCGGGGAGTACCGCAGTGGTCCACGCCTTATTATCTTCATTCTGGGGGGCGTGAGCCTGAACGAGATGCGCTGTGCTTACGAGGTGACCCAAGCCAACGGCAAGTGGGAAGTGCTCATAGGTGAGTGGGGCGTGTTTTCTAGAGGGAAGGGCTGCTTCACTGCACTGTGACTCCATTCCACGCTTTGGTGTTTCATCCTATCTCCAGTTCTCCACTCCCCCCCAACACTTGGCCACGTCCGTGGATGGCAGCCAAGGAGGGGTGAAGGGGGCCCTTCCTCAGCTCTGCTCTGTGCTTCCTGATGAGCGGCAGCCCCACGTGTGGGAAGTGCCTGGTCCCAGGCCCCGACAGACTCGGCATTCCTGCTCTGTCTCTGCCGTTCGGGTCCCCTCAAAAGTGCCACCCTCTCCACGCTGCGATTTCCTCACCCACCAAAACTGGGTTAAGGGCACCCACTTATAGCCCAAACTGGGCCTGGGGTGGAGGGGCACATCAGTTACCTGGCCTCGAGGAGCCTCACATCCGGAAGATGCTCAGTGAACCGGTCAATGAGCACTGGCCCCTGTACCTGTCAATTAGAGATACACAGACCAGGCGTGTAAGCAGATACTGCTCAAAACATATCCGCCTGGCATCTGGGCTCTGCTGAGGGCTGCCCCAGCCAGTTCCTACCACTTCAGGGTCTATCATATCCCTGCTGGTTTTCCAGAAGAAAGGAAGCAGCTCCTAAGCTCTGACTTAAGGCAGCAGGAGAAGATTTTCCTCTTTTTCATGTCTATAGGAGCCTCCCCAGTTTCTCCACCCGGAAGAGGAAACATTGAGAAAAATCTTTGCTTTCTCCAGATGCCTTCTTCTTTCTTGTGCCTTAACAAACTGGAGTTGCCTCTGCCCAGGATGCCTTTTGACATTGACTGACCAGAGGTGACCAGCACCTCCTCTCCTGGCTGGGCCCTGCCCTTGCCCCTTTGCTCAGTAAGAGGTGTCACTTTTATGCCTCCACTTTGGGGGGAACCAGTCCACGTGGTCCTTCCTGGATGTATCAAGATGGACCTGGCACTGTCTTCACAACTCTCAGCTTCCAGATCCCACCATTCAGCGGGGAGATCGCACATCTCCACCCCCGCCCCTCCCTACTCCCAGAAGCCTCTCTGGCCACTATTTCTCCTGGGTTTTCTCCTGTTTTGGTTGCATAGACTCTGTGTTCTTGGCTTGCATATGTGTTGCATGAGCGTGTTGGCTAATTCTCTCTGCGCAAACACAGCTGTCCTGGGCCGACGCCGTCCCAGCCAGGCTTCGTTGTAACCCCCTCGTCCACGCTGACCTGACCTGAGGGTCCCTGTTGGGAGGTGGAGACCCGGGGAGACACGGCGCCCGTGCAGATGGGTGGAGAGGCCTGGTGCAGACCGCCGACGCCCGCTATGCGGCCCCGCCCGCTCTGTGCATGCATGCCCGCCCGCCGTCCTTGCGGCCCGTGTGCGCGTGCGCCGCGTGTGCACCTCGCGTGTGCGCATGCGGCTCGCTCTCTCGCACCTCATTGGCTGCATAAACGTAGGCCTAAGTTGGCATGCTCCCGTAACGTACTGTGTTCAAGCAGTCAGCCGGCCTCTGTTCTCCCGCAGGTTCTACTCATATTCTCACTCCCACCAAATTTCTCATGGACCTGAGACACCCCGACTTCCGGGAGTCCTCTAGGGTATCTTTTGAGGATCAGGCTCCAACAATGGAGTGAGAGCCAAAGAAACAAAGTAAAAGCAGCTTATTACAGAAAAGAAACTCTTCCACTCTGAAGGGTTTTCTTTGATTTATTCCGTCACTCTTTCTCTTTTCTTTTTTTTTCCCTTTTCAGTTTATTATTTATTTGATTTTCTTTTAACGAGAAAATGCTTGCAGTTCTTCACACCGATTGAAAATGTGTCCTGACGCTGCCCTTCACCAACCCTGCCCGAGCTCCGCTGGGCTCTGGCTTGCCAGCTCGCTCATGCCACAGGTCACCTGCTGCTGAGACAGCTGCAGCCCCCTGAGCTTTAAATGATCACAACCGCTATGCACAGTCCTCCAGAGGGGGCTGGACATGGAGGGATGCTGCAGGCACAGCACCTAAGCCTGCTGGCCGTGGAGTGAATTCCTGATGATGAGGAAGGCTTGGCACAGGGCATCAGAATAGACCCCCAGTCTTTGGTAGTTAAATGTGTCAACACATTTTGCCCAGGACAGGCACTTATCCCAAGGAACAATTTCTAAGGGGTGATGGGGTCGTAAGCCATCTGGTTCGTGGTGAACCCCAGCCACCAGTGGAAAGATCTGGTGTCTCCTGTTCGTCTAGGGAAAGCAGCACTTATTAGTCATTTGCTCTTTCAGTAATTACTTTTAATTCTTCTGTGGATCCTTCCAAGAGTTGAGAAACATACCCCTCTCTCCAGCTGGAGTCTCCTAGTCAGATTGAGAGCCTTTGGGTAGAAATCTGTTCTCAACACTGTGAGCTGTTTTGAAGAGCGTCTCCTCTCCCACGAGCTCATGCCTTTATCTCAGTTACCTGGGAACCTGTTGTGGGTTTGGTAGGTTATCCAGGTTTTATTCTTGCCCTTGAGAGAGCAAGAGTTCCTTGCTCTCTCTTTTCCACTCTTCCATCATGCTGGGAACCTCCCCGACCTGTTCAGACAGCAGACTGGCCCCAAAGACCTCACTGCAGCATGAGTCGTTTCTAGCTTCACTACACACTCTGTGATGAGGCCACATCTTGTGTGCATGCACTCTATTCCCTTGACCATGGACTCTGGAAATGTCCCCTTCCCCAGCCGCCCCCCCCCCCCCCTGCCAGGCTGAGATGTGGCCGTGAGCCACCTGTGAGTGAGTAGCAGACAGACCAGGACTCTAGCCCCAGCTTGACCACAAGCACCTGTGTGAGTGGGGAGGTTGTTCCCACTGGCTACAGCACACAGAACACAGGGAGGCTGGATCGCAGAGCCCCTTGGGCTCTGACCGTCTGTGATGCCGTCATTCAGTTGGAGTCTCAAACCAGGCAGCCCTGCCCCACTCTCTGGCAAGCCCTCCCTCCATTCTCTGGGGAATGGACATCAGAACCCTGGCTGGGTAATGTCAGAAGTGCGCTTGTTTATTTTAAAAAGAATGAACTCCATCTATGAAGGACCTGCTCTAAAGGTTGACCCTGGAGGCGGGGTTGTTCATCTCCTCTTTCTCTGCCTTGAACGAGAGATAGCTGCTCTGGGAAGTAGGGAGGTGAGGAGCAGCAAGGGCCTGTGAGCCAGGACAGTGAAGCTGGCCATGGCCCTGGGCTACCTGCCATCCTGCCCAGGCTGCCTTTGCCTAGAAAGCGAGGCCAGTGGGTGATGAATAAAAGCAAGTGTTTAAAAAAAGTCATCCTTAAGAAGCACCTTGATAGGATGATAATCAGAGAGATATGGTTCTCATGCAGATGGCAGGTAGGTGGATAGCATTTGCTGTATTTCGAGACTCCTCAACGCACATGCGGAGAAGGCAATGGCACCCCACTCCAGTACTCTTGCCTGGAAAATCCCATGGATGGAGGAACGTGGTAGGCTGCAGTCCCCGGGGTTGCTAAGAGTCGGAAACAACTGAGCAACTTCACTTTCACTTTTCACTTTCATGCACTGGAGAAGGAAATGGCAACCCACTCCAGTGTTCTTGCCTGGAGAATCCCAGGGATGGGAGAGCCTGGTGGGCTTCCATCTGTGGGGTCGCACAGAGTCGGACACGACTGAGGCGACTTAGCAGCAGCAGCAGCAGCAAAGAACATGGCCGAAGCCCTGGCAGACCCCCTGCAGAGTCGGAAAGAATCACAAACCCAGACCCCAAGGGCTCCTGCTCGGATTCCTCCTGAGATTCCTTGCGATCAGAGACACCTCTCCTTTGCTTTCTCTGTTTTACATTCAATCAGCAGAGAGTGTCTTGGCTGCCATTAGAGCAGAGAGAGCACTACAGACTGTATGTTCTTGCCTTCTGCGATGCTTTGTTGGGCAGCGTTGTATTTTAGAGTTCAGTTAAGAAAAAGCGAGGCACGGAGTCCTCATCCCAGGGAAGTTAAAAAGCAGATGAATGTCCAACCTGCCCACTTCTGAGGTAATTGTCCAGGTGACTAAAGCCTAAAACAGTACAGGGTGTTGGAGAGGCAGGGTGGTCTCCCACACATCAGTGTGAGCAGAAACTTAGCTTTTAGAGATGGGTTTTCCCCGCTCGGCAGTGAACGAGTGTCCTCGTGGGCACTGTGTGTGGATGTCAGTGTTGTGCTCCACTCTCCTGGCTCCTCCCTCTCCTGGCCCCACCTCCTCTGGCTCCTCCCTCTCCACCTGGCCTCTCCCCTTCTGGCTCCTCCCTCTCCCCTGGCCCCTCCCTCTCCTCCTGGCTCCTCCTCCTTCTGGCCCTTCCCTCTCCTCCTGGCCCCTCTTCCTCCTGGCCCCTCCCTCTCCTCCTGGCCCCTCCCTCTTCTCATCGCTTTCTGTCCTGGAGCTGAGGCCTGCTCCCCCTGGCCCTGGCCGAAGGGGGCAGGCGTGGATAACTAAGTGTACAGATGCCACCAAGTCTCGGCTCAGTCTCCACTAATCAATCCTCCACTAATCAATTCCTCCCAACTAAGAAATGAAATATTTTGATCAGCTCTGCACCTCTGTGCTGTGGACGGTTTATGTTAAAAGGACTGACTATTAGCGAATGTCCAGAAGACGGTCAGAAGCTAATGAAGGGGGCTGCAAGGCCAACTTAGACCTATTACACAGCACTTACAGGAGGAAGAAGTTTTTTTGTTTTGTTTTTATGTTGAATACTTTGCTTTATTTTAGATCCGGGTCAGATAAGTTCCATTTTTTCAGTGGGACTCGGATTTGAATCTGAATTCAGAGCTGACTCAGTTCCCAGCTGCTGTTTCAGCATTCCCTTCCACATCCCCTCCTGGGGCAGGAGGCCACAGGGCCCCCAGAATCTAAAGCAGAGGCATGGCTTATAGGCCTGGCTGTGCCACCAACATGCCCCACCACCATGAGCATCTTTTTCCCATCTGTAGGATGCCAGTGGGCAAGGCCACTGTCTTCCCACACCTGGCAGATCATCTCACTCACCTGGGCTGCTCTTAAATGTGCAGTTTAAACCTACTATTCACTGACACCACCCTCAATAGTCTGAGTCTGCAGGACTGATTCAGGCAATTCCAGAACCAGCTGGGTCAGCTGGTCTGTCAGAATTCTTCTGGTTTTCAGATGTTGTCAGTGAGGAGGAAGCATTTTGTCCTGGCAGAGCTCACTGTGTCTGGCCGCAAGCTTTGACAGTCTTTGGATGACTTTGTTTTGAAGATCACCGTTCACATTTCAGATTTGCGGTTATGTAGAATAAGGGGGAACCTCAGAGCGGTTCTAGAGTCCTGCATGGTCGGCCATCTTTGGGTTCAAGTGAGAATGTTTGCAGTGTTTGTGGTGCTGAGAAGTTTGACCAGGGTATTAAAGCGATATCGCTGATTGCGTAGCAGGAGGGTCTCAGGTGATTTCAGATTAACACCAGCTGGTCTGCATCCTTTAAAGGGACCGGGTAGTTAGGGGCCTTAAAGGGACCAGGAGCATGCCTGTGTGAGGAGCCCCAGAGGCCTCACGGGTTTCCTTATACTCTTGGTCCTAGCTCAGATGGTAAAGAACCTGCCTGCTAATGCAGGAGACCCGGGTGTGATCCCTGAGTCAAGAAAATCCCTTTGGAGACAGGAATAGCAGCCCCCTCCAGTATTCTTGCCTAGAGAATCCCATGGACAGAGGAGCCTGGAGGGCTACAGTCCATGGGGTCACAAAGAGTAGGACATGACAGAATGACTAACACTTTCACTTGGTCCTGGATGTTTTCTGCTTTCAATGAAAGATTGGGAGCACCAGACAATCAGATAATATCCAGTTCTAAAGAATGAATTCCTTCACCTCTTTTTGGCCTTCCCCCAGTCCTGAATCTGCATGGAAGCAAGGTTAGGAAGCACGATGGTCTAGACATCTGATCAGAGGCCTTTCGATTCCCCTCTACATCAAGTCTGCCCTCTTGTTTTCTGGAATCTAGCAGATGGCTATGGGGGAGGACGTTAAGGATGGTTTTTCTGGCATGTGCATAGCCTCAGAAGCCCCCAAGCTAATCCCAGCCCAGAGTTCCCAGCAGCCATCTCTCAGCTGTAGACACCTAAACTGCATGCAGCTGAGACTTGGAGGCTTTCATTCTGCCAGTGGTCCTGGTCAGAATTTGGTAATATTTATTCCTGTTTCCTCATCTGGGGAGCAGCCTTTGACCTTTAGGACTAGCAGGAAGATTCATAAGGTCACAGAAATGAGTGTCTTCAGGGCAGAGGGGAACACCCTGCTGAAACTGGTGTCACCTTTGCCAAAGGAGCCCTGAGCCTGCAGAAAGAGTCAGCTTTGGGCGTGGGGCTGGCACAGGCTGCACGCTCACTTGGGACATCCCACTCGGCCGCTCAGGGAAGCAGCCAGGGAAGGACTGGTTCCTCACTCAGAGCAGTGGTTGGGACTTGAGCTGCAGAGAAGCCTATCACACCAGAGATGGCTTCTCCAGTGTCCCCCTGGTCTGCGCTGACCGGGAAGGCTCCAGATCTGCAGTGCCAGCCTTCAGGGATCAGCTGCGCAAGTAGTGGTCAAAGGCATAAGGACCCTGCTATTTGGAATCACTCCCAAGTAGCCCGCCAAAGCCTTCTTCTGCCTGCCCTCAGGGTGGAAATCTGGCCTCCTGTGGTTTCTGGTCCCCTCTTCCCAGGAAGGCCTGCGCCCTTGCCCGCATCTCCAGGGAGGCACATTTTCAAGGACGGATCTCTTTTGTTCAGTTCTCTCCCACCGGGATCTCTTTCTTTGAAGCCTTCTGCTGCATGCGTGCAGGCCTCATGCTCACACACCAGTCACTTCTGTTCTTTTTTGAGTAAGTCCATGTCCAAACCACACGATCCATGCATCTTTTTTTACTGCACTTATTAGATCTCTCTTTATGAAAAAGGACTTCATTTATTTTTATTTTTTTATTTTTGCAGTAAAATTATATCTAATTCCATTAGCTTAAATTTTTGCAAGCATTTCTAACCTCTTACAATGTGCGGGTCTCTGCAAGGTAAGGCCTCAGGTACCCCGGCCCTCCCCCTTTCACAACCTGAGGTCCCTCCCACCATGAAGCCCCAGCCAGCTGGCTCCCAGAGTGCAGTGGCTTCCCCTGGGTGCTCTGTCCATCCACTTCCTCCCGACCTGGACCTCTCTTTCCACACACAGCCCCCCTGCAAACCCCTGCCCCATTTACCGCCCTCTCCCCCGCCATGTGGTTTGGCACTTCTCTCACTGGCTTCACTTTGAATTCAGGAGAGAATTAGAAGGATGGCTGCCCTGTCCCCTGGCAGATGGCACTGAGCCTGGATGGAGAGAGAGCTCCTTCCTCGGTACAGCCCGGGGCACCCTGCCTGAGCCAGAGGAGGGTTCTGTTCACCCACGGCCCCCAAGTGTCTCCTGGGCCAGTTGTGACGTGGCCCCAAACCCCAGCCCCTACCCCCCTCTCTGTGTCCAGTCAACCGAGGCCAGGGGAGGGGAGGGGGCGGCTGCAGCTATGGGAATGGACATGGGCAGGGAAGGGGGAAAGTGTTTGAAACCAGAGGCAGCCAGCTCACAGGTCTTTTCTGCCTCCCCAGGATCCACACACATTCTCACCCCACAGAAACTTCTGGACACGCTGAAGAAACTGAATAAAACAGATGAAGAAATAAGCAGTTAAAAAATAAGCCGCCCCTCCAAACAAAAACGAACCCTCTCCCCGAAGTGCTCGCAGCCCCGACCGCCTCTGTCCCTTCGCTGACCCCCTCCTCCCTCCATCGCCTCCCCCGGCTCTGCACGCCTGGCCGGCACTGTCACCGCTGCGTTCTCGTGTTTGGTGATACCCTCTTTTTCTTGTTTGAAACAATGCATTGTTTTTTGATTTTTTTTTTTTTAAAGAGTCCCTTCTATGTGTATCCTGGAGGAGACGTTTGGGGCGAGGGCCGTGCTGCCCCCGGGTTCCTGGAACCATTTAGGGTGGATGGACACCTCCTCCCCATTAGTCATGATTTTATGACCTTGTACATAGCCCAGCGTGACGTGTGTACATTTGCTTGCGTATGGGAAGGTAGACGTTTTTTAAGAACCTGTTTGGGGTCACTCCATTCGTGTTGGGAGTCTGAGCTATCCGTTCTTGGAGTGTGTCAGACTGAGGGTGTCTCTTCTCACTCCAGCTCCTCCCCCTCCGTGCCGGCTCTCATTCACATGAGCTTGGAAGTGAAGCTCAGGTGACATCTCGAGAGGTTTGCGCTGGAGCCGACCTCTGCTCTCTCTCCCCAAGGGGCTCACTCCCCCCATCCCCTGGGGCTGGGGGTTGGCCATGGGAAGTCGGGCTGGGTGCCCTGTCTCAGCGCCCTCCCTGGCCCCGGCCACAGCGCTGTGGTCCTGTCTGCGGCCTATCACCGTGCCTGGATGAGAGAGAAGCAGGCTTCCACTGGGGACCTGTGTCTCCAGTTAGACCTGGTTCTTCAGACCCCATCCTTCCCCAGGCATCACCCCCCACACCACCGCCAGAGCTCCTCTTTCTCGGAGAGGTCAGCCTGGATTGAGCTCCCGGCTCAGCAACGGACTAGGACTGGGAGGGTCCAGCAGGCTCCTGGTTCAGAGGTCCCTTTCCTGTCTGCGCCCCTGAGGCTTCAAACTACACGAAGAGTAGCCTGCTGGGTTTACACAGACCCCAATCCCACCCCAGATCATCCTCTGTTTAAGATACTCCCTAATACTTTATTTTGTGTAGTGTGGGGTCGTATGTCGTCATGCTTGTAAGAAGAAAACAATCATTTTACTCTCTGTATAAAGACGTAGCTGTATAAATCTTAGCTGTTGATGCAGAAATCAAAGAGGCCAATGCAGGAAGGATGTTTCCTCGTCCTCAGGACTCAGCGGCTCGTTCTCCGGAAGGGAGCACACTCTGTTCTGCTGCTGCTGTGAACTATAACGACAGTGGAAGTCACAAAAAATGTCCCGCACCCCCCCATGCCCTTGAACCCCCCCCAGACCATGTGTGTATATTACTGTCTTGTGGCATCATTGTTGCAAACGTGTGTGTGTGTGCTAGTTCTCCGCCACCCCCTCTTCCCTTTCAGAATATATCCTCCGCCCGCCCCGTTAGATGCATCGTGGCGTTCTCTTAAGGCTTTGAAATCTTCCCCCTTTGCACTCAGATTAGTTTGCAGGTCTGTCTCCCTGCCCCGCTTCCTTACGAGATCTTATTTCCTTAGGACAGACTGTAAGGACATGCCTTGGTTTCTTCCTGTTAAAACTGCTTGTTTTGTCCCCTGCCCTTGACCAAACGACGCTCGTGCTTTAGGACCTTGTTTGTCCAACACGTTGGTTTTCCTTTCTCTGTTATTTATATAAAAAAATAATTTATCAAAAGGATATTTTAAAAAAAGCTAGTCTGTCTTGAAACTTGTTTACCTTGAAATTATCAGAATCTCAGTGTTTGAAAGTATTGAAGCACAAACGTGTATCATCTCTGTACCGTTCTGTACTAAAGCACTCGAGTCTAATAAAGAAATAAATCAGCGCCCGTGCATGGTGTCCAGGGTGACTCGCCGCCTGGTTTCTCCTTGGGGAGCAGGAGGAGAAAGGCTTCATCGATATAGTCCAGTGGGGAGGAGCCCAGCTGCCGCCAGCCGTGGCTTGGAGCCTTCTGGATCCAGGTCACTGCGACTTACATCAGAATCTAGATCGTCTGCAGACGATCCACAGAGCATGCACTATGCTGCCTGAGAGCAGGCAGTTCTTCCTTCATCCTGGGTCTCTGTATATAGGTTGTCTTCAGCCTCGGAGACGGCAGGGCTGTGTCTTGGCAGGTGGCGCCCTCCGTGAGCCTGTGGTGACAGTGCATTCAGGGCGTGTGATGAGGTCACTGCATCAGTCTTAGTGTTCTCCTCCTCTCTTCCTGCTGCCACACCACCTAGCCTTCCAATGAACTGTCAGATCTGGAAGGCATGTCCTGCTGGTCATGAAGCCTTTTGGTGACTTGGGGAGACTGTGATGAGTTTGGCCCAGCATGAAGAGGGGGACCCTTACATTAGGCTCATGGTGACACTGGAAATATGTCAATCAATTTCAAATGAAGCAGGGTGACCTCATCCATAAGCCAAGCAAATGCCCCCAATACCAGTCACAAAAGAATACATTATAGAATTAAACCAATTAAGTCCATCCCTAAAGGTGGGGGAGAAACCCAAACTACATACTGCAGAATTACATTCCTTGGAGGAAAAAGTGGCACCAGAGGTAATGCTGCTAAGAACCCTGTAAAAAACCAGGTGCTTCCCTGGTGGTCCAGTGGCTAAAACTCTAAGCTCCCAATGCAGGAGGCCCGAGGTTCAATCCCTAGTCAGGGAATTAGACCCCACATGCCTCAACTAAAGAGTTCGCATGCCACAACTGAAGAACTCACATCCTGAAATTAAGACCAAAGATCCCGTGTGCTGCACTAGGACCTGGCATGGCCAGGTAAATAAACATTTTTTTAAAAGTAAACAAACCAGACTGCATCACAGGGCTGCCAGCCTTCTCTTAACCCCTCTCCACCAAGATCTCCATTGGTTTTGACAACACCTTTAGACAAGGAGTTTTCAAAGCTCTGATCCAAATAAAGTCAGCTGCCTCGGGCAGAGCTGTGGAGCACCCTGTCCTTACAGACTGCCTTTCCCCAGTGCGGAAGCCATGTGCTACCACACCCAGACTGGACAGACCTACTTTTCCTGGAGTGACACCTGCTCTACAAGTGGGCTCCGGGGTAGCAGTCCCTGCTGTCCTCAGCTTGCCCCTGCCGGTGTGGAACCTCCATCCTAGGAGCTAGCTGAGATGAGAGCCATCAGGGTACAGGTATTCATAACCTGCCACACCTGGAGTGGGACCTGTGCCCTCTGTGGGCTGGTATGGGGAGGTCCTCTGCCCCGCCTATGGGCAATAGACATCCTGCAACGTGGGGGAGGGGGAAGGGGAAATAGGGTGGCTGTCTGCCCCTCCCAGGGAGAAACCAGAGCCCCCATCTTCCTGGCCATGCCTGCCCAGAGGAGTACACCAGGTAAAACTTGCATTACACAGAACTGGTGAGGGGAGTGAGCCTTTTTATTTTTCCTGACACCAAATACATATCACTTTTCACACCATTTCTCCAAGTCTTTGGCTCCAACTAGGTGTCTGACAGTTATGTCAGTTCTGACACTAATTATTCAGTGAGTGCAGATTCCCATGGATCAAGGGCACAGTCCCACAAAACTGCCCCCGCTTCAGGCATCAAAGGGGTGCCCACACTACCCTGCCCAGCTGATTACAATTCGAGGGGTCTCACAACCCCCTCCCCGGGTTTGGTAGTTCATTAGAACAACTTACAGAATGAAGGAAAGCACTTTCTTTGCTGTGACTGGTTTATTACAAAGGATACCGGAGAACAGCCAAACGGAAGGGACACACAGGGCAGGGTATGGACTTGGAGGTGGGGCGGGGGGTAACCCAGAACTTCCATGCCCTTCCCAGGCACACCAACCTCCCAGCACCTCCTTTGCCCACTAACCCAGAAGTCCCCCCCAAACTCTGTTGTTTAGAAGATTTTATGCAGGCATCGTTACATAGGCAGAGTTGATTAAATCATCGGCCACTAGTAATTGACACTTGGTCTACAGCCCCTCTGCCCTCTCCACAGGTTAAGGGGTGGGGGTGGGAGTTGCAGAAAGTTCTAACCCTCTAATCCTCTGCCTGGTGTTTCTGATGAGCAGTCCCTGCCCTGAAGCTCTTGCCCCTCCCCTCTTAACGCATCAGCGAAAACCCAGGTATGTGGGAAGGGGCTTGTTATGAAGAGCAGAAGACATGCCTCTCAGGAAATTCCAAGGGTTTTAGGAGACCTGTGTCAGAAATCTAGTGAAGTGAAAGTGAAAAGTTGCTCCGTTGTGTCTGACTGTTTGTGACCTCATGGGATTCTCCAGGCAAGAATACTGGAGTGGGTGGCCATTTCCTCCTCCAAGGGATCTTCCCAACCCAGGGGTCGAACCCAGGTCTCCCGCACTGCAGGCAGATTCTTCACCAACTGAGCCACCACGGAAGCCCAAGACCATTAAACAAGTTGGTTAAAATGAGGTCAATAAGGTGGGCCCTAATCCAATCTGACTGCTATCCTTATAAGAAGAGAAGATTAGGACCCAGAGAGGCAAAGGTGCGCATGCCCAGGGTCCAACCGGCCACATGAAGAGACAGGAAGAGAGCAGCTGTCTGCAAGCCAAGGGGAGGCCCCGCCAAACTAAACCTGCTGACACCTTGGCCTTCAACTTCCAGAACTTGACAAATCAGGTTTCTGTGGCTGAAGTCATCTAGTGTATGGCATTCTGTTATGGCGGCATTAAGTGGATAATAGAGTTGCCCAAGGCAAGAAAAGCTTCATAGAGTTGCTGAAATCAGGAGGACTGCTGACAGATGCGCCCAGAAACTCTCTGACAAGGCTCAACACTGACCACTCTCCAAGCACTCTCCTTGGTGTTATTCAAGGACTACCCGCCCCGAGCACTGTTCTCAGGCACCTTCCCTTAATCAAAGACGGGCCTTGATCCTGCTTCTGAGCTTTCCTAATCCTTTGATGAGAAAGCACAAGGCCAGGGATTTCCCTGGTGGTCCAGTGGTTAAGACTCAAGCTCCCATACAGAGGGCCTGGCTTCAATCCCTGGTCAGGGAACTAGATCTCACACGCAACTAGGAGTTCACATGCCACAATGAAAGATCCTGTGTGCTGCAACTAAGACCCCGTGAACTCAAATATTTTTTTAAAAAAGAAAGAAGGCACAATACCAGGCACTTAATGATAACTCAGGAAATGGAGGTGATGTCTACTCACTGTTTAGCCACATTTGGGTCAAGAGAATCAGTCTCTGTGTTTCAGGCAAGGAGGAGCCGGACTCCTGTATCTGGCACAGCCCCTCATCTGTGATGATATCAAACACGGTGTCATCTGGTGGGATCTGTGTTTGCACCTTGGCCTTAGGCAAAATGCAAATATGCATGTGTGTGTGTATGTATATATATAATATGTGATAATATATATCACAGCTGACAAGGAAGTGCATTGTTGCTCAAATACTAGACTCATACTTGCAGAAATTTTGTAGATTTTTCTTAGATGTTTCTGCATTTACTGTATGCCTTATAACAATTTCTAGACACTATTTTTTTTATTGGAGTATAATTGATTAATGGTGTCACTGTTAGTAGTTTGCAGTGTACAGCAGAGTGAACCAGTTATACCTACACCTCTGTCCACTCTTTTTTAGATTCTTTTCTCATGTAAATTATTTCAGAGTACTGAGTAGAGTTCCTTGTGCCATGCTGTAGGTCCTTGTTAGTTATCTGTCTTATATATGGGGCTTCCCAGGTAGCAATAGTTGTAAAGAACCTGCCTGCCAATGCAGAAGGCATGAGACGTGAGTTCAATCCCTGGGTTGGAAAGATCCCTAGGTTGGAGGAGGGCATGGCAACCCACTCCAGTATTCTTGCCATGTGTGTATGTTAATCCCAATCTCCGAATTTATCCCAGGGAATTCATCCCCCTTCCCTTTGCATACATCTGTGACTCCTTTTCTGTTTTGTAAATAAGTTAATTTGTATCTCCAGACACTTTAAATGATTGTTTCTTTCTTAAGAAATAATCTTCACCAATTGTTGTTTTGCCAGAGGGAGAGTCCATTGAGCTATTTTCCTGTGCCATTCCAGACTCCCACCCAGGCTATCTTATTCAGCTAATAGATATTTACTGAGCACCTACTAAGGAGATCAAACCAGTCCATCCTAAAGGAAATCAGTCCTGAATATTCATTGGAAGGACTGATGCTGAAGCTGAAACTCCAGTCCTTTGGCCACCTGATGCAAAGAACTGACTCACTGGAAAAGACCCTGATGCTGGGAAAGATTAAAGGCAGGGGGAGAAGGGGACGACAGAGGATGAGATGGTTGGATGGCATCACTGACTCAATGGCCATGAGTTTGAGCAAGTTCCATGAGTTGGTGATGGACAGGGAGGCCTGGTGTGCTACAGTCCATGGGGTTGCAAAGAGTCAGACATGACTGAGAAACTGAATTGAACAACCATGTGCCAGTCTTCTTCCTAGGTTCTGGGGATGCAGCCACAAATGAGAGACTGAGTCCTCGTGAGCTTACACTAGCGGTGGGTGGCATTATATCACACACACACACCCTGAATGAATGAATCCTGTTGTGTGCTCCAGAGAGGTGGGCATTTCTTCAGGCATGTTTAGTGATACCTGGATTCCTTGTCTCCCTTGGGGCTGGGCTTCCTCCCTCCAGAGCCTCCTAGAGGTGGCAGTGCCATGAGTCCACAGGCCACTGACCTGGGCTAACACTGCAGTCTGCAGGCTGTGTGCACTGCACCCACTCCCCTCCCGAGACCTGGCTACCAGAGGGGCTGCTGGACTTTGTGGTCTGGGTCACTCGCCAAGTCATGTCTGACTCTTGCGACCCCATGGACTGTAGCCCTCCAGGCTTCTCTGTCCATGGAATTCTCAGGCAAGAATACTGGAGTGGGTTGCCATTTCCTTCTCCAGGGGATCTCCCCAGCCCAGGGATCAACCCCGGGTCTCCTGCATTGTAGGCAGATTCTTTACTGTCTGAGCCACAAGGGAAGCCCCTCTAGGGCTCTGACCCACTGTAACATTCCCATGTCACCAATTTCCTCTTGAGGGAAGGAAGGGTCTCCCAGAGCCCAAAAGAGCACCCAGTGAGCCTGGCGTCCTGGTCTCTGAGACGCCATGGTCTGGGACACCCAGACCTGTGGCCTCTCTGTCACTGTTGGCCTTGCAGCAGGAGGCTGGTCTCTGAAGCCTATCCTCGCCAGGAAGAGGGAAGGTCCCTTTAAGCCTGGCTTCACATCTTTAGCTTGTTGCTATGTATGCAAGGAACTTCCTTAGCAACCACCTGGCCTCTTAAAGAGGCCCTGGCATAGTGGTTGCCTCCAGCCATGGCTCCTAAAAAGAAGGGGGCCAAGGAGCCTGAGATCAAGAAGAAAGGTGGCAAGAAGGATCCCAGCGTGGCCATCAAGCCCATGGAAATGCCTATAAGCGAGGAGATCCGAGAGTTCTACCACATCCAGATCCGCAACCTGGAGGACAGGCTGGCCCGGTGGGTGGGCAAGCAGGGTGGTCCTGCCAGGTCAGGGAGTGACTCAGAGCTGACCACTGTGGAGGTTGTTGGGGTGGCCCTGTGTTCTGGCCTCCCAGGGGATGTCCAGACCCACCCCCCATCCCTACCTCAGTTTCCTCAAAGATAACATTGGGAGGCTTCATGATTTTGAAGAAAAATGGATTTCTTGGCCCCATCTTGGCTCCCAGAGTTTCCAGCAGCCCAGTGCCTAGTTAAGAGCCTAACCCCTCCCCAGGCAAGGACTACGTCCCCCCTGCCTCACAGTTGCCCCCCAGGACCACGCGTTTTATGTAAGAGGGCAGAGTTCAACCGGAGGGACGAATTGGAGATGGCAGCCCCCTGGCAGGCGGGTGACCACATGCCCCTATTTAATTCTCCTGAGACATGCACTTGCCCACTTTTCTTATTCTTACACTAGTTTCCTCTCAGTTATGATGCACGAGCCCAGTCATAGGGTGACCCTCAAAAGACACACCCCTTCGGTGGCGGCTCAGATGGTAAAGAATCCGCCTGCAGTGCAGGAGACCCAGGTTCAATCCTTGGGTCAGGAAGATCCCCTGGAGAAGGGAATGGAAACCCACTCCGGTATTCTTGCCTGGAGAATCCCATGGACAGAGAAGCCTGGCGGGCTACAATCCATGCAGGGAGTCAGGCAAGACTGATTGACTAACACTATCAGTCAGGTCTCCTCACATGTTGCTACAAATACAGCTGATGCTGAGACCTTCCTGGACTGGTGCTCATTGTGTCCTTAAAACAGTCCCACGAGAGAGGCCCTCGAGTCATCCCCATTACAAGTGGTGGAGAGATTGAGGCTCAGGGAGAGAGGAAGTCACCCCAAGAAAGAGGCTCCAGGATGCCAGCCCTGGGCCCTGACTTCCCTAAGCCAGGCCACCTCCTTGCTCCACAGATCGGGTCATCAGCTTTGCACCCTGCACCGCGCTTCCATTCAGAAGATGTTGGTTGAGTTAGTCGTGAAGTTAAACATCTTTCCAAATAGCTTCTACCCATTACTCCATTGGAAACTAGAAAATTGCTTATTCGACAGCTCTTAAAAATTCACACCCTTCCCTCAACTGGAGATACCAAATGAAATGTATTTGGGAAAAATGCATTTGAGAGGTGGTTGTTGGACACTTATTATTTGTCAACTTCCTCTGCCAGGCCCCCCAAAATACAGAGATGCGAGGAGTCAGGTCTTGACTTCCCAGTGGGACAAGGGTCAATCTATAGGAGGGCCCCAAAGAGAGGACCACAAATGCTGCCTCAGAGCCAGGAAGGCTCCACAGATGTGGCAACACAGGGGTTCACTCAGTGAAGTAAGGAAGATCACAAGTGCAGAAGTTTGGGGTTATAAATTGTGAAAGTATTAAGCAGGGCACAGAGCTGGCAGCAAGCATTATGCTTAAGACCCTTAATTTGGGGTATCAGACTGACTCGGATTCCAGTTCTGGTTTTGCCATTTACTAACTCAGAGATGCTTCATCCCTCTGTGCCTCAGTTTCTTCACCTGTAAAATGGGTACAATCATCATAGTCCCTGCTTCCTTGATTGCTGTGGATTCAACAAACACACTGAGCACCTACTACATACCAGGTGCTAGGTGTTGGGGACACAGCTATGAACATTAACAGAGGCTCCACCCTCACAGAGCTTACATCCTAGTGATGTTATGCACGTAAAGCGCTGAGCACAGGCATCAGCTGCAGTCACAAGCACTGACCAGGGGAGATGAGGCTGGAACCTCCAAAGTCCCACTATGGGAGGGTCCAGGGAGCAGCCTGGCTGCCTGGAGGCCCCCTGGACCTCTGCCCCACATTTGCCTCAGGTACCAGCGGAAGTGGGATGAGTTGGCTATGCAGGAGAAGCTGTTTCGCCAGGAGTTTGAGCAGCTGGCCAACAACAAGAAGGAGATCGTGGCCTTCCTCAAGCGCACGCTCAACCAGCGCGTGGATGAGATCACCGACCTCAATGAGCAGCTCCAGAGCCTGCAGCTGGCCAAGGAGATGGAGAAGGATGCCTTCGAGGCACAGCTAGCCCAGGTGCGCCATGAATTCCAGGAGACCAAGGACCAGCTCACCACCGAGAACATCATCCTTGGTGAGGGGCACTGGCCGGTGAGCCTACAGGCACACACCACAGCGGGTGGGAAACCCAAGGCTCTGTCTCTCTGGGCTCCAACTCCAGCTCTCCCACTGTCTTTCTGACCTTGGGCCAGCCCTGCTCTCTGACCCCATTTTCCCACCTGGGAAATGGGGATGATACATCTTCCTTGAGCAACAGCTACGTGCAGCTTCCCACACGTATCTTCCATGGTAATGGCCCCAGCAATCCTGAGGCAGAAAATACCATCTCCACCTGCCATTGGGTAGGTGAGGAGGCATTTCAAGAAGGTGGAGTGTCTTGCCCAAGGTCACCCAGCTGGCAAGGGTGGCTGTGCCTTTCAGGTGACAACAGGAGTGCCTGGTCCAGAGAAGGTGTTCAGAGTCAGAGGCTGTTGGCACAGTTTCATGAGAGTAGAGGAGAGTGTCAAGGGGGGCTTCCTGGAGGAGGTGGAGCCTGAGCCAGGCTTCGTAAGACTTGGGGAGAAGAGGAAGGGCATTCCAGACTGAACCAGAAAGGCGGGCAGGATTACGTGTGGGGACAGGGGACTGGCCCTACTGGACGGGGAAGGGTGGGGTGCGTCATCACACAAAGCCCTGCCGCCCCCACCCCCGGGACTCTGCCCTCCCGAGGCGGCCGTTCACCAGGCCCGTGCCCTGTGGCGGGACAGGGGGAAAGCTGGCAGCCCTGGAGGAGTTCCGGCTGCAGAAAGAGGAGCTCATGAAGAAGTTCATGTCGCTGGAGGACCAGCTGCGGAAGCAGGAGAACGAATACAAGGACTACGTGCACAACCTGGAGAAGAAGTCGGTGCTGGACAAGGACAGGTGGGCAGGCTGCTGCGGGCGCAGGACCCCCTCACTGAAGCCAAGTACAGTCAGGTCTTCAGGCCTCCGACAGCCTTGGCTTCTAACTGGGCAGGGGGGAACCATGCCAAGTCCTTGATGCCCCGACTTGCCATTCCTCAAAACTGTGGCTGATTTGATGGGTGGGGTGGCGGCAGGGGGCGGCGGAGAGAAAAAAAACAGGCTCCCAATTCTCACACAGACAATGGAGAATCCCTGAACTTCCTTGTGCCACTTAAATTATATTTAATGGTTCATCATACACGGACATGGTTCAAAATATTACAAAGGGTCTATAATAAAGAGCTCCTGCTGGTGGCCCTGGCCCCTCCTATGGGGAACAGGGCAGAGAGGTCTAGGCACTCTGGGGACCCCCCTCTGCCTTAACCCCACCTCACCCCCACCCATCCCGCCTAGACTGAGAAAGGAGATCATCCAGCGTGTGAACATGGTGGCCACAGAGTTCCGCAAGGTGGCCACGAACCAGATGTGGGACACAACCAAGCGGGCCATCACAGAGAACAATGCGGTGACCCTGCAGCTGGCCAAGATTACACGGCAGGGCACGCAGCTGCTGGCGGAGAATGAGCAGCTTCGGGGCCACCAGGACAACCTGTGCAAACAGCTGGAGCTGCTGGAGAACTCCCAGAAGCTCATGGCCAAGAACAACCGGGGCCACCAGAAGGTGCGTGCTGCCGGCCCTAACCCTGGGAGGCTCGGCACGGAGAGCAGGAAGGAAACCTAGGGCCCCGTCCTCAGGGCAAATAAGGCCCCTGCAACAGTGGACCCGGGGTCAGAGCATGGGGGAGGCAGCCATGAGGCAATGGGGCCCTCAATGGGAGGGCTCTGGCCCCCATCACTGGTTGAATGGGAACCCAGCCCCAGGGCCCCTACCCGCACAGGCGACTTAATGGGTGCGCAGCAGCCCTGAGGTGAGTCCAGCGAGTGCTGGGCTCCCAGGGCCCCGGCTGGCCTCTCTGGGGGATGCAGGGCTGGCTGAGGGCCTGCAGCGGGGCCCAGAGCATGGCCACCTGCCCACACTGCAGGTCATCTTCATGCTGACAGAGAAGTGCCGTGAGCAGCAGCAGGGCATGGCCGAGGCCAAGCGGCTGCGTGTTCTGCTGGGCCAGCTGGAGCAGGACCTCCTGAAGCAGCAGCAGGACAATCAGGCACTGAGGTGCAGAGCGGCGGGAACACCCTCCCTCTGTGGTCATGGGCCAGTGACTCCCCGCTCTGTACAGGGGCCTGGAGGCTTTGTCTGTTACACAGGCTGAGGCCCGGGGCTGGCCAGAGAGAAAAGTCAGGGCCCCTTGTCCTAGGATGGGGAGGAGGCTGACCTGTCTCGTCCTGGGCCCAGGAACGAAAGAGACCAGCTGAATCTGCAGCTGGAGAGGCAGCAGGCTGAGGGACAGCGGCTCCAGCAGCAACTGACCAAAGAGCAGGAGGCCCGGGCGAGCCTGGAGACAGCCCTGGCCCAGGCTACCTCCTTCCTACAGGACATTCTGCAGGTGAACTGGAAGTGGGTGAAAGTGGTGGTGGTGGTGGGGCGCAAATCAAGGACTAGAAACTGCCTGGAGATAAGCAGACCGCCAGAGATGGCCAAGCCAGGCCCAGGGCCCCTCTCTCCCCTGAGAGTTTCCTGGGTATCTGTCTTTTTCTGATTCTCCACGTCGAGCCATTTGAGGTCTCAAAGGAGCTGGACGAAGGCCTCTGAGACCCTGGAAGTCATCAGTCTTCCCATCTGGAGAATGGGTGTTCCATCACAGCCAGGGAATACTGAGATTAACAGGCACTGGGGTTGGAGTTTCCCAGTGGTGGATGCTGGGGCCACAAAGTGCCTGACCTGGCGGGCTCACCCGTCCCCCTCTCGGCAGATGCAGCCTAACGAGGAGGATGGTGACTTCAATGTCGTGTTCCAGCTGCAGCGAAAGGAGATGCTGCAGCAGTTGCTGCTCATGCTCGGCTCAGCCGTGGTCTCGAGCCCCCAGATGGCCAAGGCCCTGCACCGGGAGAGGCAGCCCTGTGGCCTGCCCAGGGAGGGGTGAGTGTGTGACCCTGTGTGACCCCAGAGGAAGCAGCTACAGGACACGTCCAAGGGCTGTCCTCGACTGAGCTGGGGCCGGAAGCCTGGCTCCCTGGAGCTGCTCTGAATCTCGGCTTCCTTGTCTAAGATGTGGAGGGGATGACACCAGTCCCCTCCCCACAGCCAGGACAGCAGCACCCAGCTACTCAAGACAGGGTCTCTGCTGCAGCAGCTGTCCGGCATCACACCCTACCGGCCTGGGGACCTGGGTCTGGTACCTCGACGGATCCACATCCCACCCAACCCTGAGGACCTCAGGCTGCTCTCACACACCACTCGCATGGGCAGCTTACAGGCGTACAGCAGCCCTGAGGTGAGGGTGCCAGGGGGCCCCAGGGACAGCCGGATGAGGGCCGCCCTTGGGTGCATATCACCGCTCTGCCACACTGCAGCTGTGTGGCTCTGTGGATGTGGCTGGACCTCTCTTAAGCCTCCACTTCCCCATCTGTAAAATGGGCTGAAGAAAGGTGTGTCAAGGCCTCAGTGGATCCAGACACGCCCACACATCCCCTGGGAGGGAAGCCTGCTGGACCCTGTAGGCCCTCCTCCACAGGCAGGGGAGGGATGGGAAGCCCACCTTGGAGGCTTCAGCTCCAAAGGTGGCACCTTCACTCTTACAGATCCACACCTCTGCTCCTCAGAAAAAGTTAAAGAAAAAGCTCAGTCTTCCTGAAGTTTCCCTACTTTCAAAGTAGGACACGGAGAGACCAACCTCCTATCCTAAAGAAGGACTGTTCCGGCCACAGTCCCCACGTTAGTCCACAAGCAGCCTGGGGCAGCCCAGAGAAGAGTTATATTAAAAAAAAAAAAAAAGACCCCACAGGCTGGCGTGGCACCTCTGTGGATGGGTGGATGGGCGTGGGCATGGCAGTCGGGCGAGCCGCCGAGCCCACCGGCCTCAGGGGCTTGACGGAGTCCCCCGGCTGCGCTGGCGGATGTGGTCCAGCAGCAGGTCCGCGGCACGCTCCAGCACCGGCGGCAGCAGCTCCAGCTCAGCAGGGGAGAAGCGGCCCAGGACGTAGGCCCGCACTGCATCCGGCTGGGTCGGCCGCCCGATGCCCACCCGCAGCCGCGGCATTGCCTGTGGGGGGGCCAGCGGGCCCAAGGAGCCCTGGTGAGAAGGAGTGCTGGGGGCCCTGTGCCAGGCCACCCGACTCGGTGCAGGATGGAGGTGCAGACTCACACTGGAGTTGAGGCAGCTCATACAGGAACGGACTCCATTGTGGCCCCTTCAAGGGACAGGAGAGGGGCAGTCAGTGCTTCCTTGGGTCAGCACCCTTCACCCCATTCCCCGCCCAGCCTGGGGTCGGCACTTCTACCCCCACCCCAACCCGGAGGCCAGCTTCCCTCTCCCACCCTGACCAGCTCAGGGCCTCACCTGGCGCTTCCTCCCAACTTCAGAGCCACTTTCCCCAGCGGCTTGTCCAGCTCATCGTGTACCAGGTAAACTTCCTCAGCGGTCAGTCCGAACAGCTCCGCTTGGCCCAGGGAAACAGTGGCCCCGGTTACTACTGATCCACCCAGGAAGGTTGTCCTGACTCTGGGCTCCCATGAAGAGGGGCCACAGTTAACCCCACTTGGTGGTAAAGAACCCGCCTGCCAATGCAGGAAACATAAGAGATGCACGTTCAGTCCCTGGGTTGGGAAAAATGCCCTGGAGAAGGGCATGGCAACCCACTCCAGTATTCCTGCCTGGAGAATCCAATGGACAGAGGAGCCTGGGGGGCTACAGTCCACAGGGTCGCAAAGAGTTGGATATGACCAAGTGACTAAACCACCACCACATATAAAGAAACTGAAGTTCTCAATTTCTCAGTCACCCAAGGCAAGGCAGCAATTGGAGCTCAACTGGTACCTGGAGCTCTAGGTGAACCGATTTGCTGCAGTCCAGAATGCCCCCTTCCGGCCCCTGCGCCCTCCTGGGGGGCACACACGTGGGGCCCTCAACTTACCCGCCTGGGCCACACTGTACCCGTTGAGGTTCATGAGCCTCCGTGGCCGGAGCAGGACCAGCTGGGCATCTCCGAATGAGGCCAGAGCGAGGTCCGCGGCACAGCGCCGGTCGCGTGCCCAGCTCTCCGCCACCCCCAGCCGCCGCGCCAGCTGCCCCAGCACCGCCATGCCCACGCTGTGCCGCGTGCCAGGCAGTCCAGGGTTTCCCAGGCCTGCCACCTACGGGCGACATCAGGGAAACTGAGGCCCGACAACTATCCCCATAATCTATCTCACAGCGCGACCCCACCCGGGGCCCCAAAGCAGAGGAAGGTAAATGGAAAACGACCGGAGTAGGTTAGGGCCACGAGGAAGAGTCCAAGAAACTCCAAGATTCCAGAAGGCCAAGTGGAAGAGCCCCCCGGGGTGGGCGGGCAGGGCCCCCCAGTGCAGGAGCGGAGTTCCTGGAAGTCTGGAGCCCATCGGAGCATCTGACCCATTTCTAGATAAGAAAACTCAAGACAAGGAAGGGGGAGAACTTTGCCCAGGAGACAGTGGCAGACCTGGAGCTAGGGCCCGGGAGTCCCTACACTGTCCCCGACTCCACTCACCAGCCACCGCTTCCCCGCCGGCCGGGGTTCCAAAACGCAGCGGCTCATGGCTCGACTCAGCCACAGCCCGGCGCGCGAGAGGCCTAGCGGCCCCATGCTGCCCCCATTCAGGACGCGGACCCCGCCCCTGACGTCAGCCAGCCCCTCGGCCAGTCGCGGCCGCCCCTAGCTGCTAACGCCCAATCCGGGGCGGGCCACGTGGCCGCCACCCTTCTGAGGGGCGGAAGTGGCGGGCCAGTGGCCTGGTCCGGGCGTCCCTGCGCATTCCCAGGTGCCGCGTCACCGTCTGCGGGGTTTGTGGTGGGGCTCGCGGAGCCCTTGTTTGACCACTGGATTGGGAAGGAGTGTGCCCTGTTTTGACCCACCCCTGGGGCCCTGCCTCGCTGTGGAAAGCCGGCAAGCCTTTTCCTTGGCTTCCCCAGCTAATAAAAACTTGCTAAAGCCATTGCAAGGTGTCATCTCTTAGAGCGTTGTGGATTGGGAAGATCCGCTGGAAAAGGGACAGGCTACCCACTCCAGTATTCTTGGGCTTCTCTGGTGGCTCAGACGGTAAGGAATCCGCCTGCAATGTGGGAAACCTGGATTCCATCCCTGGATCGGGAAGATCTCCGGGAGGAGGACATGGCAACCCACTCCAGTATTCTTGCCTGGAGAATCCCATGGACAGAGGAGCCTGGCGGGCTACTGTCCATGGGGTCGCAAAAAGTCGGACACGACTGAGCGACTAAGCGCGCAGCCTCTTTCCGGCTCGGTTTGAAATTGGATTTCAGGGATTGGACGCCTCGGGATTCCGGGGGCGTGGCTAAGGGGCGGAGCCTGTGGGCGTCCTGGAGATGATGCCTAGCAACGTCGGGAGGAGGGGGCCAAGAGGAAAGAGGGGGCCAAGAGGAAAGTGAGGACCGCGAGTAAGCTGGTCCAGGTCCTGGGGTCCTCCCCGAAGGGGCCTCATGACAGACTCCGGAGAGGTGCGGGAGAAGGCTGAAGCAAAGGCTAAGGGGTGGGGGAGAGGAGACCACGTATAGGTTCTCAGGGAAGGTTTTTCGTTCGGGAGAGGCCAGATCAGTTGTGCGACTCTGTAAAGTCCCTAGCTGCTGTGCAGAGAACAGAGGTCTTAGGACCTGCGGCTGGTGGGGAGGTCGGAGGGGTGGCCGGAGCTGGCATAGAGACAGAGATGGCAGTGACCCAGATGAGAGAAGAGGAGGTATCTGAGAGATCTGTAGGAAGTGGGATAGACAGGGCTTAGGGACTAATGGAACATAGATCTTCTGTCAAGACGTTGCTGGACCCCCAGGGCCTTTGGCTTGGGGCAGGGCCTGAGCTGCAGACAAGAGTTTTGGGTGTCGGTATCTGGTAGAAGCTGAGGGAGACCAGAAGGAGAGCAGAGAGCAGTGTGAGCATGAGATCTTGACCACAGGAGAGAGAGGCAGGACTGCAGAGAGGTTAAGGGGAAAGGGGCTGGGAGGGCCGCCAGACCCCAGACTGTGCCTCCTCCCAGGCCCCCTTTCCACCCCCTCCTCCATCCTGTAAAACACCCGAGGAGAGTGTGTCAGTGGAGTGGGGATTGTCTTTGAGGCTTGCTCCAGCTTGCTGTTGCTTGGTTCCAGGATGGTCTGGAGCATGACAAAGCTCCCTCACAACACATCCCAAAGCCATGGGTGATTCCCATGCCAAAGGGGACCCTCCAGCGCATCTTTGGGACCAGCCAAATCTTCCAGAACTTTGATGATATAAAACCAAAGGCTACGGAGTTAACCGTGCCCCTCAAAGTCAGGGAATAGTGAGTGTCTCCCTTGCCCAGGGGTCCCAGGTTCCTTCCCTGCAGAGCCACTGACATGCTGTGCAGCCTTGGGCGAGTTACTCTCCCTCTCTGAGCTCCAGCAAGCTCAACTGTATAACGGGGCTCTTGCACCTCAGCAGCAAAAATAAAGCTGGATGGGCTCCACGGATGGCCAGCCTGCTCTCCCTGGGTCTCTGTCTACCCCTCTTGTCTTCCTACCCAAGTCCCCCTCCTTGCAACGCATTCCCAACCCCCCAGCTCTATGTCCTGGGCCAGTCCCAGGTCAGGGCCAGCCCTGCCCCCTGCCTGTGCCCCCTGCCCTCCACAGCTACCATCGAGCTCATCAGTGCTTGGAGCAAGAGGACTGGGAGATGGCCGTGCTCTTCTTCTCCCGCGCCCTCCACCTGGACCCCCAGCTGGTGAGAGGGAAGGTTTGGGTGGGCACGGGCAGTTGCTGTCCCACGCTTACACTCTCACCTCTCAGGGCCACCAAGTCCCTGTGGTAGCCGAGTGGCAAACCTCAGGGCGGATTGTGGGGAGGGGAACGGCAGTCTGGGTCCCCTCTCCTTCAGGTAGAATTCTATGCCTTAAGAGCCGAGGCTTATATCCAGCTCTGCGACTTCTCCTCGGCCGCCCAGAACCTTCGAAAGGCCTGCTACTCCCAGCCAGAAAACAACGACTACCTGGAGCGACTCGCCCTGGTGCTTTACCTGAAGGTGCCCAGTGCTGCCCTAGGCCCGTACCAGGCACCTGCCTCCCACCCTGGCCTGCTGGCTCTCCCTCCAACTCGGGGGGTTTTCCTTGCTCCCGGGGCCAACCCTGACTTCTTGCCGACCTTCTTATCCCTGCTTCTGTGTCCCCTTCTGCCACTCCTTCTCATGGCCTCTCCCTCCTTCCAGGTTCATCCACCACCAGGGCTGGGTACATCCAATAGAACTTTCTGCAGTAGTGACAACGATCACTTGGCATGATGATTACCGTCCATTCTGATGGCCACTAGCCACGTAGAACTGTTGAGCCCTTGAAATGTGGCGAGTGCGACTGAAGAACTAGTTTTTTAATTGTTCTGATATTTAATTAGAATCTATCTGAAATTTGTATGGCCATGGGCAGCAGGTGGCTATTGTACTGGACAGCACAGGCCTAGAGTCCACAGGCTCCCAGCACTAAAAAGACAAGAGCGCCCCCCATTTGTAATGTGTAATAAAGATGATATTAATCCATAAAATCCCAAAAAAGTCCTGATTTTTCCCCCATGTTCACAACTTTGATGTCTTGGTTTTTAATGTCAATAATAATTCAATTCTGGAAATTCCCTGACGGTCCAGTGGTTAGGACGCTGCATTTCCACTGCAGGGGGGGTGGGGCATGGATTGGATCCCTGGTCAGGAACTAAGATCCCACTGCCATGCTGTGCAGCCAAAATAATAGGAATAATAATTATTATTATTCAACTCTGAAAAAAGAAACATTCTTAAAACCAGACCACATGCTTAAACTGTCTGCGGGGGTCCTGAGGCCAATCTTGTTCTTTCTGTGTGCACTTAGAAAGGTCACTTCACTTCTCTGAGCCTCAGTTCCTTCATCTAAAAGGGGAATGTTACCTAGTCCCAGTGAGATAAATTTAGGTTTTTTTTTTTTTTTTTTTAATTTTTGCTGCACCTGGGCAGTTTGCAGGATCTTAGTTCCCCAACACACATCCTTGTAGTCAAAGCACTGAGTCCTACCCTGGACAGCCAGGGAACTCCCTAAGTTATATGTATCCCTAAGAATACAGGAATTCCCTGTATTCTTTTTATTTTTTTTTTATTTTTATTAGTTGGAGGCTAATTACTTTACAATATTGTAGTGGTTTTTGCCATACATTGACATGAATCAGCCCCTGTATTCTTAATACAGGGCTTGGCTCCTGGAGCCCTGGTCCAGGAAGGAGCCTGTTATCATTAGATCTGCTGTTCTGATCCACCTCTCAGGTTTTCTCTTTTTTCCCCATTCCTATGTCTGTATTGCTATCTGTCTGTCACCAACTGTATATTTATGTGTCTTGCTGTCTCCCCAGCTCTGTATCTCTCTCTGTCTGTATCTCTATCTCTTAAAATCTCTCTCTGATCTGAAGGACTCTGTCCCCATCCCTTGTCATTCCACCCCAGTGATGGCCATCCCTCAATTCATGGGGGCTGCTGGGCTGGGCTCACAAGCAGGGCTGACAATCCCTGTGTCACCAGGGCCAGTGCCTTTTTGAGCAATGCGCCTTTCTGGATGCCTTGACCGTCTTCTCCCAAGCCTCTGAGCTCCAGCCTGAGAAAGTCTGCTTCCGGTATCGATGGTGAGCACCCTAGTCAAGAGCTTTCTAGCCTTTGTCCCCCTCAGCGTCTCCTTCCTGCCCCTCTCACTGGGCAGACCAAGCACCTTTGCTCTCTGCCCACAGCCTGGCCTGTCTCCTGGCCCTTAAAAAGCATCGTGAATGCCTCTCGTTCGTCACCAAGGAGGTGAAGCAAGGCACCACCAATGCGGATGTCTACATCCTCCGGGCCAGGCTCTACAACTTCTTCCAGAAGGTAGAGCAGGGCAGGCAGGGCCGATGGGTGGGCCTCCTCCCTGTTTGGGTGCTGAGATTACAGGAGGTGGCTAGGCTATCCACCAGCCCAGAGGCCACAGCCCCCAGTGTGGTGGGAGCCCTGTCCTTCCCAAACCCTGACCAGTGCTGACCATTCCTGCCCGGTCAGGTAGTTGTTCCAGCATCATTCAGCCCTGGCTCTCTGCCAGGCCTGCACCAATCCCTGAAAACCACAAGGTGAGAAGTCTCAGCCTGCCCTGCCCTCATGGAACTCACAGGCCAGGGGAAACAGCCCCCAGCAAATAATTACACAAGGACTGACTTCCCAATTATGTGAAGCACCATCAGAGACTGCCAGGCATCCTTTAGATGTGAGACTTGGGGTCACAAAGAAGGAGGGGCTGCAGGGATGAGAGAGTGATAGGCAGGATCTCGTGAACCCCGGAGGACCCTGACTTCTTCCTGGGGAGCAGCAGGAACCTCAGAAGGGTGCTCCCTGGGGGCAGTGGGCATTAGAAAAGTCCTTTTGGCTGCCAGGGGGCATGTGGACTGGGGGGGCAGAGGGGTAACTCAGGAGACTGGAAACCTGGGTACCATCCATCTGGATAGGAGTGGGACTCGGGGAGGATGGGCAGGATGGTGGCAAGGAGGGGGGCAAGTTCTTCAGGCCTTTGGAAGCAGGACCAGAGACTGACTGGGGGGCTGGAGAGGTGAGAGTGAGGAAAACAGAGGCATCCAGAACAAGGCCTGTTGTTCCAGTTTGGCTAGGGTGCTTGGGGTGGGGGGCAGGGGGACTCAGGAAGAGGAGGAGCATGATGGGCTGGAGTGGGCAGGGTGTCCTCAGGGTGCTGGAACCAAGAACCTCCCTCTGCCGGGGGCTGGGCTCTTGTGTCCCACAGGTGACTCAATGGGAGAGGCTCCTTCAAAGGTAGGAGACTAGTAATTATTGACAATTATTGTTGATTGTTGGGATTGCAGCTGCTCCCTACAATGCATAGACACATTCTAAGCACTTTACTCACATTTGTCTCTAAGGCTGGCAGTAACCCTCTGAGGTTAGACACAACCCACTGTCCTCTTCTTACAGATGAGGAAGCAGGTTCAGATGGTTTGGCTAACTTGCTCTGCTTGAACCCAAGTCCACCTATTCCAAAGCCCTGTCCCAACCTCTGCCATCTTTCCCCTCCCAGTTTCCACTCACACCCAGTGTCTACACTGCCTCTCTTGCCCTCAACCAATTACCCCACAGGACATGGGTTACTTGCTAAAATGTTGACTGACTGACTGACCTGCTCACCCAGTGGAAGGTATTTGCCCAGGGATGTTTTCTGCTCATGCCCAGGCCTGAATGTGTTCTTGGTTAGAGTTGTCTTGGGCTTAAAAGTCAGAGGTGTGCGGGAGGGTATACAGGGGAGGACAGGGAGGACATGACAGTCATGGTCAGGAGACCATGGCCTCCCCCCACCTCAAGTGAGCCTCGCAGAAGTCCTGCAAGGAGGAGGCATCTGTAGCCCCATTTTACAGCAAAAACCACTGAGGCAGACCTGGCTCACCTGAGGTCACATCTGGAAAGGGGCCAGTAGGGATGGGGCCTTGGATAGGATTTTCCCACAATGCTCCCTTCCTCCTTCAAGAGACAGAAAAGGCAAAACAATGGAGGGGCGGGGGGGACTCTGAAGATGGGTGGCATGGTGCTGGCCTGCCCAGAGGTCTGCCTCCCCCCAGTGAACGGGGGGAGCTCAGCTTAGGTGCAGCCCTGACGCTATCCTTGCCTTGCACGCCTGCAGCCCAACCTCTGCTATCAAGACCTACACAGCGCCTTGCTATTGGATCCCAAGCACCCACAGGCCAAGGTGCTGCTCCGGGTGATGGTGGGCCAGGCCCAGCAGGCACGCCAAGATTCTGGGGTCCTGGCCGTGCAGGGCAAGTTGCAACATGCATTGCATTGCATCAATTGTGCCATTGAGAACAACCCTCTGGACCCCAGCTTCTTCGTCTTCCGGTACTGGGGGGGTGGAAATGCTGTCTTGGGTCCCAGGCCCTGCCTTGCCTCAGATGTGCTATGTGATCTCAGGAGAGCCCTTGACCCTCCCCAGGTCTCAGTTTCCCCATCTAGTCCCTAAGGGTCTTTCCCTGCTCTCCATCAGGACTGAGGAATCATGGGAAATGATTTCTGCTACTGCCTCTGGAGAAGGGGCAGGCAGCAGCCTGTTAACCTGGGAATCCTGGACCCCCAGGCCTGCTGAGCAGTTTATACTGGGAGACTCAGCCCAACCCAGCCCAGTAAAGGAGGCTTAGGTTTGAATTTACGCCCCCTACCTCCCCAGCAAGGGCTCAACACTTCATTCTGGGCCATTTAACTTCCCTGACCCTGGGTTTTCTCAATAAACAGTGGAGGTAAAACAATCATCCTGTGTACAAAAACCCTTAGCAGAGAGGCTGACAGGCACGCTGCTCCCAAAAAGAAAGAAGTTATTTGTAAAGCAAAGTAGAATCATCAGGCTATCTCAGTAGCAATCGGGGAGCCGCACAGGCCAAACCTAGCGCATGAGCGGGGAGGCCCTCCCTGCCGCCTCCAGCGGTCAGGGGACCCAGAGCTGCATCCACTCTCTGGGACACCCCGAGTCGGTGCGGGCGCTCTGGCTCTCATAGGCCTCTCCCATAGGGGCACCTTGTACCGACGGCTCCAGGATTTTGACTTGGCAGTGGAGGACTTCCTGAAGGCTCTGGACATGATGAGCGAGCACCAGGAGGAGCTGGTGCAGCAGGCCCAGCGCCAACTGCTGCTGGCCTACAACGACTTTGCGGTGCGCTGCTACCTGCAGGGCGCCTACCAGGAGAGCGTGCTCCTGCTCAGCAAGGCCCTCAAGGACGAGCAGCAGGAGAAAGGCCTCTACATCAACCGCGGCGGTGAGTGGGCTCCCGGGGAGCTCGGCCTGAGCCCCTTGCCTCTCGAAGGCCCGCGCTGGGCGCTCGAGGGCCCCGAGGGAGGGAGGGAGGGAGAAGGGGCCGAAGAGGAGTCTCAGTGTCCCACGAACACACTACGGAGGGGAAACGTTGTCTGAGAGACCATCTGGCTACACAGTCCTTCAAAATGCTCAGATCAGGCAACTGGAAAGAAGCGCCCAGCTGCATTGAAAAGCCGCTGCAGGTGCTGACAACCGCCCAAGGGTAGCATCAGTTGCAGGCCCCGCCTCCTAGGGGGTGGAGCCAACTGGGCCGCGGCTCCTGCGCCCTGGGTTTTTGCGATCCCCACTCAGTCCCCGCGCTCCAGATTGCTTCTTCCAGCTGGGCAACCTGACCTTTGCTGAGGCGGACTACCAGCAGGCGCTGGCACTGAGTCCGAAGGACGAGGGCGCCCACCTGCGCATGGGCCTGTTGCAGGAGAAGTTGGGTTTCTGCGAGCATCGGAGCAGGTGTGAGCCGACTGTGGGTGGGGCGGGGCCGTGGGCGGGGCAGACTGGGCTATGGGCGGGGCCGGGGAGGTCAGGGATGAAGCCGCCTGCTTGGGCTCCCTGGGTCAAGATGTCTCTGCTCTCCCAGTTAAGACTTCTAAATATCAATTTTATTTTCCAAGTTTTCGCTAAAAATCATTCACTTTTTCTCTTAATATTGTTACGGTAATTGCGCTTTTTATTAAAAAAAAAAAGTAAGTATTCAGTAACATAAGACTCATAAAATGGAAGTTCCTTCTAATACCTGTCTCCTAACGCATCCCCTTTCTGGGTGAGTTTGGTAAAGAGTCCTCCAGATTGATTTCTACGCATGTATTAGCAATTGCTATTATTTTACAAAAGTGAGATCGTGCTAAGCTGATATTTGACAGGCTTTTTTACTTCCCATGGCCATTACACAAAGGATGACTTCATTCTCTTTTATTGGTTGCAAAGTATTCTATTCGGCAGAAGTACCACAGTTAATTTTTCTAGACAATAGTCTGCTGATGAATTTGGGCCGTTTTCAGTTTTTTTTTTTTTTATGATAAATAATGCAGTAATGACACCCAAGACATATGTTTCCATCCATTCATACTAGTAATTCTGTAGTTAGATTGCTGGAAGTTAAATTTTTGAGTGTGAAATTTTAACATTTTAAAGATGCTAACCAATTGTTCTCCAAAAAAACAATGAACCAATATAAACTTCCCCGACTAAAAGAAAGTCATTTCCCCAAACCTCCCTAGCACAGAGCATTAACATTATTTTTTAACTTTGCTAATCTGTAGGCAAAAAATAAATGGTTCTCTTGCATTGGATTTACTTTGCATATTTAAATTGTGGGTGCAGGACAGCATTTTTCATGTGTTTATTGGCCATTATGGTCTGCCTAAATTGTTCTCCCATTTGCTTTTAAATTGCCCAATAAAAACTTTTTTTGGTTATAAGAGTTCTTTGTAGACTGGAAACTTTGCTTATTATCTGCCTTATGTGGCAAAATATTCTTCCCTATTTGTTGCTTTCTTTTGTGGTGCTTTTACTACTAAATAATGGGATTTAATCGTGGTCAAATTAGGTGTTTTTTTTTTTTTTCATATTTAGCTGCTGCGTTTGTGACATGCAGAAAGCCCTTCCTATTCCGAGATCATAAAAGTGTCCATTTATTTTGGGACTTTACACTAGCATTTAAGTGTTGGGTCCATCAAGAGGAGTGTTGCAGGGAGTAGAAACTAGCCTGGTTTTCCCCAAACTCCCCAGTGAGGTCCAGAAGCCCCCATTTCCCCCAGGTGGCCCAGCTCAGAGCACCCTGTGGCCCACTGTGTCCTGCAGGCAGTTCCAGAAGGCAGAGAACCACTTCTCAATAGCCATCCAGCACAATCCCCGGAAGCCCCAGTACTACCTGTACCGCGCCAGGAGCCGGCAGCTCATGCAGAACATTTTTGGGGCCCGCCAGGATGTTGCCACTGTCCTGCTTCTTGACCCCAAGCAACCCAAGGTGTGTTCTTGCTGGGCCAGGAGGGTGGGCTCCAGAGTCAATACCTCTGACCACCTAAAGATACGTCCTGTCCCTAAAAGAAACCTGGATTCCTAGCAGTGATAAGCACTGCTAATGCCAGAGCATTTACTTTGTACCTTCTCTGGTGGCTCAGCGATAAAGAATCTGCCTTCCAATGCAGGAGACACAAGTTCAGTCGCTGGGTTCGGAGGATCCCCTGGAGAAGGAAATGGCAACCCACTCCAGTATTCTTGCCTGGGAAATCCCATGGACAGAGGAGCCTAATGGGCTACAGTACATGGGGTCACAAGAGTCGGGCATGACTGAGTGACTAAGACAACAATGATGCCAGAGAATTTACTATGTGTCAGGCACTTGGAGATGGCAACCCATGCCAGTATTCTTGCCTGGAGAATTCCATGGATAGAGGAGCCTGGAAGGCTACAGTCCATGGGGTTGCAGAGTCGGACACGACTGAGCAGGTAACACACAGCCAGGCACTGTTCTAACCACTTCAGCTTATATCACCCTGTTTAACCCTCTTTAACACCTACGAGACAGGTGTCTCGTCACCCCATAATTCACAGAGGGAAGAGGGTAGGGCTTAGACAACTCAGTTCCCTTGGCCCAGGTCATGGAGCTTGGAGGTCACACCCTCCTCTGGCTGACTCCAGAACCCCTGATAAGACTCAGAACTCCCTCACATAATAGTTCCTTCCTCAAGATCTCCCAATAGTTCAGGCCCAAAGAAACAACAATTTATAAAAGGACTTCCCTGATGACTCAGATGGTAAAGAGTCTGCCTGCAATGCAGGAGACCCAGGTTTGATCCCTGGGTTGGGAAGAGCCCCTGGAGAAGGAAATGGCAACACACTCCTGTATTCTTACCTGGAAAAATCCCATGGACGGAGGAGCCTGGCGGACTGTTGCAGTCCATGGGGTCACAAAGAGTCAGATGCGACTGAGCAACTGATGCTGAATTTGTAAACCCTTCTCTTCTTCAGCCCTGAGAAGGGACTCTGCCAATCAGGGCAGCGCCACACCATCTGCCCCGTCCTAGCCCACACCTGACTCTGGTCACCTTCCTCCCTGGCAGCTGCTCCCGATGATGACCAACCTTTTCCCCGGCATGTCAGTGGAAGAGGTGCTAAGCAGCCAGGTGGCGAACCTGGCTAGGTTGCAGCTGGAGCGGGTGGAGCACAGCTTGTACACCAGCACCCCTCAGGACATCCTGGAGTAAGTTTCTACAGGAGGACCCACAGGCCCAGAGTTGGGGGGCGGCTGGGGCTCAAGGCACATACTTGCCTCTTCAGGCCACCATCCAGTCCCGGAGAGGGTGGGGTGAGTCAGAGAGGCTTACCCAGTGCTCTGACAACTCGCTTTGGCAGGCAGCTCAAGGATCGGGAACAGAGGGCCCGGGCCCTGATCATCTCTTGGAAGCTGGAGCCGCCTTTACTGGAGACCTCCAAGGAGATGGAGGCCCCTCGCCAGTTACCGCAGGCAAAGCCAGAAGGCCCAGAGGAAGAGGTGCAGGTTTCTGGGAAGGAGAAGGTGAGCACACCCCACGCCAGGGCCGGGTTTCCTGGAGGTGCAAGGTGGACTGTACCCCAAGCCAGGGCTGAGGGCTGCAGGCTGGCTAGAGGCTGGCTCTGCCACCACTCAGCTGTGTGACCTGGGCTGGGGACATGTTACTGTGAGGTGGAGAAGGTACCAGTAAAGGGGGACACCTGAAGGAGTGCAGGTGAGAATGGGGGCCCCTTACAGAGAGAGGCTTCCTACACTTTGTCCACACTCACCTTCCCTGGTGGCTCAGACTGTAAAGCATCTGTCCGCAATGCGGGAGATCTGGGTTCAATCCTTGGGTCAGGAAGATCCCCTGGAGAAGGAAATGGCAACCCACTCCAGTACCCATGCCTAGAAAATTCCATGGATGGAGGAGCCTAGTGGGCTACAGTCCATGGGGTCGCAAAGAGTCGGATACAACTGAGCAACTTCCCTTTCACCTCTAGTTGCAGTGGGCGGGGAGGGTGGGCTCCTCTTTGCTGCAGTGAGCAGGCTTCTCATTGCAGTGGCTTCTCTTGTCGCGGGGCATGGGCTCTAGGCCCACGGGCTCAGTAGTTGCAGGTCATGGCTCTAGAGCTCAGGCTCAGGAGCTGTGGTGCACTGGCTTAGTTGCCCCATGGTGTGTGGGCTCTTCCCAGACCAGGGATTGAACCTGTGTCCCCTGCTCAAGCAGGCGGATTCCTAACCACTGGACTACCAGGGAAGCCCCCAGAATTTTAACACTTGAATTCATTTCTAAAAACTTTTCATTGAGTGGAACATAAAGTACATGAATCCTCAGTGAACTGTTTGATGAATTTTCACAAAATGAATACCCCTCATGACTCCATTCTCCAGCTCAAGAAAGAACACATTCCCAGTTTTCCAGAAGCCTCTCTCACCTGGCTCTGGGCCCCTCCTCCCTCAGGGCTGTTCTGATTCCTAACACTGCCGACAAATGCACTGGTCCTTCTCAACGGAGGATGGCACATGCCTGTTTGCCTCTGGCTCTGTTCATTAAGCTTTCAAGTTGGTAAGAGGCATTCAAGTTGACTGCTCCTTCTCATTCCTGTGGACAGTTCCATCCTGTGGCTATCCTACCATTTTATTGATCCACTGGACTGCTGATGGACAGCAAGTAAATTATGTCCAAGGGAGACTTTAACCACTGAGGTCCTTGGAGTGCCAGCATCCCTTGTCAGACATGGAAAAGGCGAGCTCTACATTTTTCCAGCTCATGTTAGGATACAGAGCTACAGACCTTGGGTCTGTGTGTGCCCTGAAGTCATCATGGGCTCCCTGCTTAGTGCTCCAGAGCCCTGCCCGTTCCATCTCACTACCACATGTTCCCCGCTGCAGCCTGCAGGTTTGACCAGCTGCCAAGGGCCTGGCCGTAGACTCTCCCCCCGCCCACTCCCACCTGGATTCCAGCTCTGCTGTGTGCTTCTTAGCCGAGTACCAGGCTGCTTAGGCATTTCCTGGTCCAGGCAATTTTAACAATGGGCATTCCCTCCCAGATGCACCTGGAGATGAAATGGGATGAGGCAGGGAAGGTGTGGAGAAGTTCCTCAACCCCTCTCTAGCCATTTGGCAGGGCGCAGCACTTCACAGCATACAGAAGCCTTTCCCACACTGGAATTTGCATTTTGCAGATAGAGAGACGAGGACCAAGCAGCCTCTTGACACTGCTTTTCTTGTGTCGCCACACCTGTCTAACCTGGTCACCCACACTCCTGTCCAGTCAACTGCTCCATGTCCCCATCCAGCCCTAAACTGCAGCCCCCAAGGAACTCTAAGTTCCTCTAGAAGGCTGGCCTTCTAGAGCTGCGGCCTCCCACAGCCTGCCAACTGCCCAGCCTGTCTCTAATCCTAGGAGAAGTTAAAGCTGGCCCCCAGCAAGGAGTCATCCTTGACCGACAGCTACATCAGCCAGACCTCTTTAGGCTCCACCTTGGGCTGTAAGTCCCCCTGCATGGGCCAATAGAGCAGGGAGGGCAAAGGTCAGAGGTCAGAGGCTCCCAGGTCTGGGTGTGAATCTGGCCTCTGCTGCTTACTGCAGTGTGTATATGGAGCAGGAGGGCTCATGCCAGCTTTGCTGTGGGTGGTGGGGGGAGTGGCAGGTGCAGGGATGGGGAGTGAGGGGAACCCTCGGGGATGCCCAGCTCACAGCCTGAGCAGCCAGCTCTCACTCGAGGCACTTCATCGTTGCTGCCTGCTCCACCTTCATTCCCCGCTCAACCCTGTCCCTCCTCTCTCTGCCCCCTTGGCCTCTCCCTGAAATTAGCCCACAGAGCCTGTGCATGTCCAGGGGGCTTTTACCCTCAGTTCTGCCAGGTGCCAAAATGGAAGGGACAAAATGAAAAACCTGAGAATGCGGCTCTGAGTCCCGGAAGCAGCTGCGGGCAGTCCGGGGAGGGATGGACATAGGGGCTCTAGTCCCCTTCCTGCCATTCAGCAAATGTGTTGAGCATCCCAGGGCCGAGCCTGTGCAGGACACCGTGTGCAGGCATGAATGGCACAGTCCTTGCCCCAGGGAGCTCTTGGTCCTGAAGGGAAGAAGGTACACAGGTACACAGAGAACTGGACAGTGTAGCCATACCACGGAGGGGAGTCCTGAGAACGACGGGTGCATTTAGCCCCCGTTGGGGGAGGGTCAGGGAGGGTTTTTAGGGCTCAGAGGAAATGGGGTAGCCAAGTGTGGGCAGAGTGGAGTCCAGAGAACTGCTGCAGGCAGAGGGCCAGGTCCCCACAGGTGCTGGTGGTGACGGGGACACAGGGCGAGAGGTGGCTGGCAGAGTGGAGGCCAGCGCTGGACAGTGGGGACCTTCATTTCTCCCCTTTATCTTATGGCCATGACCCACCTGTAGGCCTCAGGGTGCCAAGAGGGCTGGGCTTGGCAAGATCTGGGAGGCCTTCCCCCTTGGCCACATGAGGCCTTTGGGTCATAGGCAAAGGTGAGGCCTAGAAGCCTCCCTTTCCTGGGACTGTCTGGGGAAGGCGGCCTGACAGCTTCTCTGGACACATCCTTCCCAGTCAGGACCAGGTCCACCACGGAGACAGAGACATCCAGTACGGGTCAGGAATACAGGAGCACTTCCACCACTGTTGTGACAGTCTCTGACTCCTCATTGCTAAGGACACCGTCCTCAGACTCAGGGGACAGCAGGAAAGGCCTGAGCCTGAACCACAGCCCCAGAGAAACCAAGTCCACCCCAGGCCACCACCAGAGGCCCAGCAGGACGGAGGCCACCCTCATCCAAAGCCAGAGAGCCAGCAAGACAGAGGCCACCCTCATTCACAGCCAGAGGCCCAGCAAGATGGAGGTCACCCAGATTCAAAACCAGAGGCCCAGCATGATAGAGGCCACCCTCATCCACAGCCAGAGGCCCAGCAAGATGGACACTGCCCAGATTCAAAGTCAGAGGCCCAGCAAGACTGAGGCCACCTTCATCCACAGCCAAAGGCCCAGCAGGATGGAGGCCACCCTCATCCACAGCCAGAGGCCCAGCAAGATGGAGGTCACCCAGATTCAAAACCAGAGGCCCAGCAGGGCAGAGGCTGCCTGGAGCCCAAGGCAAAAGCTCAACAAGACCCAAGCCACCCAGGGCTCAAGGCGGAGGCTCAGAAAGTCCAAGGGTGCCTGTGGTCAGAGCTGGAGACTCAGAAAGGCAGCTGCTACCCAGGACCAAAGCTGGAGAATGATCCAAAGCCCCAGCAAGATCAATAGTTCCTATGACTCAAGTTGGAGCCCCTCCAACACCGAGGCCACCAAGGGCCAGGCTCAGAGTCAGAGGCGCAGCCAGTCCAAGGCGGCCCAGACCCAGAGCGCAAGCCCAGGTTCCAGCAAGACCGAGGTCACCTGGGGACTGAACCCCAGTCTCAGCAACATGCAGACTGCCCAGGGCCCAAGACAGAAGCCTAGCCCCGGCAGTGAGGCTCCTCTCTGAAAGGTATGCTCAGCCCCTCACTTCTTGCTGCAGTGCAGGGTGATTCTCCCCTCTGCTCCGCGATGTAGCCTCCTTCAGAAGCAATCAGAACCTGGGCCAACATTCTCTGGTCCTGTGACTAAATTTATTTGTATTTGTTCTCTTCATGTACAAAATTAAAAACTTGAAAAGCTCAGCTCCAGTGTGAACTTGAGTCCCTCTGTTCATGGAGACAGAAGTCTCAGCCTGGTTTTACCATATGGGGACAAAGGGGGGTGTGGGGTGGGGTGGTATGGTACTGGGGCAAGGGCCAGAGGAACAGAGTGAAGGAGGGCGCAGCCATGAGCCACTGTCCCTGAGTTACAATTCACATTTTAAGAAGGCTCAGGCTGCGGTCAAGTCTCCTTGAAATTCTGGGGTGACCAGTGATTTCCCTGAGGAAGGAGGCAAAGGCCAAGATGCCCTCAGACCAATGAAGAGCCAGGGCCTGCCCAGGACTTCTGTCTCACGGCCCAGCCAACAGCCCTCCTCATCTTCACAGTATGCTCTGGGTCCCACTCTGCAGGACCAGGGACCCTCTGGCAGAGGGTCCAGGGCTTTCCTTCATGGCCTGGCCAGGTAGAGGAGGACAGGGATGCCAGCTGGCAGAGTCAGAGGAAGAAGGTGATTCGGGAAGCCACCGTCTTGCAGCCATTGGAGGAAAAGAGCTGCTCATCCTCCGGGAAGAAGGTGGTGCTGTCCAGCACGGCCTGGACCACCTCATCCCTGGGCTCCAGGCCCAGCTGGGCCAGCTCGTTGAGCACACAGTGCCGCACATGGTGCCGCTGGAGTGGCAGGAAGGGCACCAGGACGTCCAGGAGATGCTCTTCCATGATGCCCGAGCGCCAGAAGCCATCTGCAGGGCAGAGCCATGGGAAGAGGCTGTGCTTCACAGGGGTCAGCCAGGCCCCCGCCCACCTCCACAGGGAAGAAAGTTCAGGAAGGCTGCTGACCTGAATCCTCCCAGCCCCGCATGGGTGCTGGGCTCAGGGGAGGCTGTCCACCAACCCTGAGCGCCAAAGCCTGGGCTGGAAAGTACTGGGTCAGTGGGCAGAGCATCTGACCTGGGAGAGCCTGGCCCACCCCCAGGGAGTCCAGCCCAGCCCTGGGTGTGATCTGGGAGTGAGACCCCAGTCTGGAAGCCCCCCTGGCGTGGGGTCCTCAGCTGAACTCACGGTGTGGGTTGTCCAGCACAGCCTGGGAGATGACCGGTCCCAGCTCCTGCAGGCTGATCTCTTCGCGTTCCCGTCGGCTGCGCCACGCCTCTAACGCCACCTGATTGATCTGCTCACCGCCGGTGTTGCTAAAACCACGGGGGACACAGACCGTGAGGGCAGGATGCAGCTCTGGCTTCCCACATGCTTCCTAACGGGACCCAGCTCAGTGCCAGCAGGAGCCAAACCCACTCAAAACGCCCCCAGGAACCGCTTCCCCCCTCCTGAGCCATTCATAACCGTGACCCCGGAAGTTTGCCCATCTGTGCCATGCACTTTACAGTTTATATTAATAGGACACTTTTAGGTCCCTTACCTACTTTCCCTCACTCAGCCTTGAGGAGGACAGTAGGGCATTAAGATTGGCCCTGCTGTTCAGAAAAGGAGATGGGAGCTCAGAGAAGTGAAGTGATTTCCCCAAAGAAACAGCTAGAATTCTCAGAGGTGGGACTGGTTCCTAGTCCTGTTTTTCCCAGGCTTGTGTCCTCTTGGTCACAAAAGAGGGAAAACTCTTAACCCAGCAGGAGCGCCACAAAAAAATGAGGATTAAGAGACTGAACCCAGGCTTTGAGAATGTCAAAGGGGAGTCAAACACCTTGAATGATGGTGTCACCAGTGAGGGCATGGGGGACTTTGGGGGAGAACCCAAATGGGCCCTGGGGGGGAACAGTATTCTGCCATGGGACAAGACTGGATAGCTGAGACTTCTGACAAGTGTTCCTGCACCAATGCCCGCTGCAAAGTTGGCCCCACCTGATGAAGATGAAGATGGCTTTGCGATAGTTGGTCCCATAGACAACCCAGGAGGAGCCCAGGAAAGGTTGTAGGACTTCTATCAGGCCTGGGGCCAGCTTGTCCATCTCATCGAAGAGAAAGAGGGAGCGGCTGCAGGCAGTGAGGTTCCCCTGCACCCAGCTCTTAAGATCCTTCTGTGGGAGAGAGGCAAGAGTATGAGGGGGCCTGGAGCTGCTTCCCCAACCCCAGATTCTTTCCCAAAACAAGAATTAATGGGGCTTCCCTAGTGGTCCAGTGGCTAAGACTCAGTGCTCCCAATACAGGGGGCCAGGTTTGATCCCTGGTCAGGGAACTAGATCCCACACGCCACAACTAAAGATCTCACATGCTGCACCAAAGATCAAAGCTCATGCATGCTGCAGCTAGGACAGATGCAGCCAAATAAATAAAAAGAATTCATCTTCCCAGGAAGATATGGTCTCCCAAAGAGCACCAATCCCTTAATGAGGCTGATGGTGAAACTGTGGCCCAGAGAGGGGCAGAGAGTAGTCCAAGCTCCCACAGCAAGTCAACAAGAGAACAGGGATGCAGACCCAGGCCTCACACCTGCCTTGTCAGGGGGCTCCTTCCCTGACACCTCTTGCTTTCTAGAAAAGGGGAGGGCACCTTCCTGCTCCCTGAACCTTCACAACAGAGTTGTGACAGCTGAAACAGATCAGCCTGGGAAGTACCTTGCAATCAACAACAATAGTCGAAAGAGCTAACATTTCCTGAGTGCTTACTCCAAGCCTCAAAAGCCCTTACTCTAAGGGCTTTACAGAGAGAAGATAATGCAGGTTGTCTGGCAAAGGTAAGTGCTCATAAATAACACCTGCGATTCTATAATCCCACGTCCCTCACAACAACCCTGGCACACAGGTACCATTACTGGCCTCCAGGCATTAAATCAAGAACTCCCTTCCAGGTGATAGCACCCTAAGCTTTGTTTAGGATGGGTCCTGAGGGCTGAAGGCTGTAACTGGCTGTGTTGCCTGGAGCAAGGGATTTCCCTCTCTGGGCTCAGGACTCACTCCTACCCTAGTGGAGTCACCCTACGGTGCAGAGGGTGGGCCAGGACACTACCCGCCTACCTTGTAACGCTCCATGTGGCTGGGGTGGGGGAAGTGGATGACTGGGGAAAAGTGGTGCACGTGGGGGCTACGGAGGCCATCCCGGAAGAGGTAGTGTGCCAGCAGGGAGCTGACATAGGACTTGCCAGTGCCAGTCCAGCCATGCAGAGAGAGGACCAGTGGCTTGGCGGGGGCTGGATCCTGCAGGAAAGCCTTCAGTGCCTTCACCACCAGTGACCTGGCCAAGTGCTGGCCCGCCAGGTGCTGGGCCAGGTCACACTCCAGACCTAGGGCCACAAGAACAGTGTCAGAGCTGAGGACACACGTCTGCAGTGGAACAGGTTCAGGAGGAAAGTCATGTCTGGGAATCTGTATTCTGGGACGTTTCTTTACAAGCTGTCTGCAGAAAGGGAGTGAGGCCCTTGGCGGGGGTTGGGGCGGGGGTGGGGGGTGTGCCCTCTGCCTCTGGCTGACTCAGCTCTGCAGCCCCCCCCCCACCCCACCAGGTGGCCCTCTGGATCGCAGCTCAGCCCTAAATGGTTGCCAGCTGTCAAAAGGGTCGACCCAGACTCCTGGCCACCCTCAAGGCAGGCTTCTCCCCTGACCGGCCAGTCCAGTGCGGAGGTCTAAACTGCCCACCCTCGACCACCACCCGGGGCTCTGCTGTCAAAGGCATCTCTCCATCCTGACTTCCAAACAGGCATCCCTAAACCCTCGCCCCAAGTCCTGTGCCCCAGGCTCTCAGGGTCCCTCAACGCCGAGCCCAGTTCCAGCCCGGACCGTCTGGAAGTCTCGGGGGTCTGCCCTTGGGTCTACTCTCCACGTCTGGCCCCGGCACAACCCCAGGATCCAAGGTCTCCCCTAGTCCGCCCGGCTCTCCGGTCTGGGCTCCTTACCCTGCAAGTCGGGCCGGAAGTCACATTCGCAGAAGGAGCCGAAGTTGCAGCGCAGCGAATTCAGGTCCCAGGAGGCGGCCGCGGCCGAGACCAGCCAGATCATCCCAAGGAGAGAGCCCCAGGGCCGGCAGCTGCGCGTCGCAGCCGCCATCCGGGTGAGGCCGAAGCTGGGTCTGGGGCCGCCAACCGCCTCTGCCGAGAACTACGATTCCCGACGTGCATCGCTCCGCGGCGGCCACCTCCTGCGGCCTACAACTCCCAGCTCCCCTCGCTCCCGTCTCCAAAGCCCTCCCCGTGGTACCCCGTAGGCTTGCAAGGCGGCCTCCAGGAGGAGCCCGCGAACCGTCCAATCCGGGACTGCGCACTGCGTTTCCATGGCCACGGTAACTGAGGGACCATCACAGCCCCGAAAGAATAATAAATGACGGATTATGACTATCAAGGGTGACGTAACAACTGTAGCAAAAACTTGTGCGGTACCTTGTAAAGCGCCTTTTCTGTGCTCTTCCCCCCTTCCCCTTTTATATGATAAAAGAGCACTAATAGCTTTTGGTGAGCACCTATTATGTGCCCTTAACAGACGATGCCTTGTATATCTTGGGCTTCCCAGGTGGCGCGAGTGGTAAAGAACCCGCCTGCCAATGAAGGAGAGGTGAGAAAAGCGAGTTCGATCCCTGGGTCGGGAAGATCCCCTGGAGGAGGATCATGGCAACCCACTCCAGTATTCTTGCCTGGAGAATCCCATGGAAGGAGAAGCCTGGCGGGCTACAGTCCATGGGGTTGCAAAAAGTTGGACACAACTGGGAGACTTAGCACAAATGCATGCCCCTTGGATATCTTATGATGACAGTACCTCTCATCAGAGGCATGGTGATATTTGCATGAAGTACAGGCACATGAAGTGTTTTCGCTCCCAAAGTAATCAATACATGTTTATTGAAAATCCATTATGGCACTTCCCTGGTTGCCCAGTGATTAAGACTCTGCTTCCACTGCAGTGGGCACAGGTTTGATCCCCAGTAGGGGAAATAGGATCTTGCATAACCCTGGGGCACGGCCAATATATATATATATATATATATATATATATATATATATATATATATATATATTTATCTGTTACATATAAAACATGGTGGTCCCTTACCTAGCAGCTACTATGTGCTACGTGTTTTAACAGAAGCCCAAAGGGATCAGTTCTGT